CTCCAGGTTGAACCCCAGTTCTCTCTGCCTGTCTTCATAGGAGAGATGCTCCAGCCCTTTGATCATCCTCCTCTGGACTCGTTCTAATACTTCCATGTCCTTCTTGTGCTGGAGAGCAGAGTAGAGGGGGAGAATCACCTCCCTTGACCTGCTGGCCACACTTCTTTTGATGCAGCCCATGATATGGTTGGCTTTCTGAGCTGGAAGTGCATACTGCTGGCTCATGTCAAATTCCCATCTACCAACGCTAACAGGTCCTTCTCATCAGGGCTTTTCTCAATCCATTCTCTGCCCAGCCTATAACTGTGTTTGGGATTGCCCTGATCCACACACAGCACCTTGCCCTTGGCCCTGTTGAACCTCATGAGGTTTTCACAGGCCCATGTCTCAAGCCTGTCAAGGTCCCTCTGGATGGCATCCCTTTCTGTCCAGTGTGTCTACTACACCACACAGCTTGGTGTTACTGGCAAACTTGCTGAGGGTGCAGTAGATATGCAGCAACAGAGGGTGCAATAGAGAGGATGGTTAATATAAAGAGAGAATTTTCTCAGCTGGGGAATTACTCATCTAAATTCTTTTGATGTTTCTGACTCCTTCTATTCCTACTGTTTTCATTCTCTGTTTTCTATCCTTCCTTTTTACCGTCTTCTTTCAGTCACAAGGTTCATTTTAAATATAGAGGTTAACAAAGCTTGGGCATCACGGTCCCCATCTGGTATTTCATTTGGAGAAGCACCTAGAATTCATGTTTGTTTTTTGTTTGTTTGTTTGTTTTGTTTTGTTTTGTTTTTTTCTCCCCATATGATCTTATGTTTCTTCACAAGACTGCTGCTCTTCAGTGTATGTGAAAAGTCAGACAGCAAGAAATTCATGGAGAATCATAAACTGCAACAATTATGCTCAGAAGTACAGTAAGAATATTATCAAAAGTGGAATTGAGACTGTCATATACAGTCTTTGATATGGTGATCTTCAGAGCAACTTGAAGAATATAAGAGGACAGAATTCAAAAGGAAATAAATACACAACTTTGAAAAAAGAATGCAAAGATAATATGACTTCATCCTGCATTGAATAAATCACAGTAATAATAAATAAAAATAAAAGAAGTCCTTCAAAAATACTCAGATATTTTTTTTTTTCAAGCTCATCTCTCTCTAAGGCATTTAACTGAAGGGGAATTTCAAAGTTACAGAACATCCTGTAGTGAAATTGCTAAAAGATGGCTTTTGGAACAAAATTAGAGCTTAGGATAAAATGCAACTGATATAGAAGAGATTAGAAGAAAAAGTTATTGGAATTATAGAAACCATGCATGTGAGGATATAGGAGTAGGCAGATCTTTAAAGTACATCTTATGTAGAGTACAGTAAGAAAGTATCAAGGGACAATGTAAATGAGATTCAGTGACTAATTTCCCCAGTGATGAAACTCCTACACATTTGGACTTCAGATCAATAAGAATATACATGGTGGAACAGATATTCGTGTTAAATAATGCTAGTGGAGATGAAAAAGTCAAACTGGTTTTGAAAGCAGTTATGGGAATCTGCAGGCTAATGGGAAATAGGAGGTAGGAGGAAGTGAAAGCATTAGTGGGAGTCCAAAACAGGAGATACAGACACACAGGGAATCAGTGCTCCTAATAATGATAGACCCTTCTTCTCCTATTTAGATTTTCTCAGAATCCCAGCAATACTTTTTAAATCCATCTACCATTTTCTTTCCTTTAATGTATTCAGTAAAAGTTTTTGTTTGTTTGTTTGTTTGTTTGTTTGTTCCCCCCCCCCCCTTTTTTTTTTAGGAGAGAGACACTTTAAGATGTCATCCCTCTACATGTAGCAATGCACATCTGATTACTGTTGATCATCTTGAATATCAGTTTGAGCCATATAGCATAGAATACATTATATCAGCTGAGATAAAGTGTGCCTCTGGATCACTGTTTTGGATACACACAACCTTTTTTCTGGTCTACAATAGGAGCATGAAAATTGAAGATGCTGTTCAAGGCTAGGAATAATTTTTCAGTTGAACTTAATTAGGCCTTCAGCTAATAAAATCTGAATGAAATACCAGCACTTACAGTGCTGAGGAGTATCCTAGCAATGGAGAGTGTACATGTGGCACCTGTGCATTGATAGCAACTATGAATCTTTTCTTTAACTATGAATTCAGACACTGAAGACAGTGTAAGAAAACATTTGTTTTTCACATGCAATATCGATTGACCATATTCAAAGAGTCAAGAAGGGTATCTATTGAACATTCCTATAGATGTCAGTGATGCATGTTTATTCCTAAAGTAACATTTTTACTTAGTTCTTTTTGGGAAATGACAGCTTCAGCAATTCCTTCTCCTTGCAGGACAAATGAGATACAAATCCACTCCATTATTATAGGTTCTGATACAGGGTCTCATTAAGTTCCCAGCAAACCTACTTGGGGAACTGTTAGCAGCCGTATATCCATCTGGTGAGAGCTCTTCATGCATATCTAAAAGGAACTTTTACCAAGTCAGTGACATCTCTTTTGTAATTGTTGTAGAAAAACACTGATAGATCCATGTAAATTCAGCCTCTTGTGGAAAAGATATAGTTGTAGCAAGTATAATATGCTTATAATCAGATTAATCAAGCTTCTTTGTTTTATTGTTCCACAGATACAAATACTCTTGCAAAATGCTCTCTTGCTCAGAGTTGTAATTAAGAATTTACTACAGGCTTGATACTGTAGATGGAGTTAATATATTATATTAATATAAGTTTACTATGAAATAATAGCACAGTGATGGCAACCAGGTTGGAAAAAATATTAGATGGAAACTGAGAGGGCAGCATCATATATCCATTTGGAAATCATTTGCATATACTGTACTACACTTTCCAACGTTTTGTTGGCTGTGATAAAATGTATTTTCTTATGCAATAAAACAAACAAACAAACAAACAAAAAGCTATGAAGATAAAAAGGCCATCTTCATTTTTGCATCTGCAGTTACATACAAAAACTTTTTATGAGCATACACGTGAAACAACATCCACCACTTGTACACCACCTATCATCAATTTATTTTTTCCAATTATAATGGCAAGCACCATCTTTCAAAAATAAGCACCACCCCCCTAATAGGCAATCTATAATGTACTATGCATCCTTACTATGTGTTCAAGACACTCTGCTTTGAGAAATTGCCTTGCATTATAAACAAAGTAGTTTATCCAGAGGGACACGGACAGGCTAGAGGAATGGGCTGACAAGAACCTCAGAAAGTTCAATAAGGAGAAATTTAAAGTCCTGCACCTGAGAAGCAACAACGTGGGCACCAGTACATGCTAAGGGTCACGCACCTGGAAAGCAGCTCGGCAGAAAAAGGACCTAGGAGGAGTCCTGGTGGACGTCAAGTTGAAAATGAGGCTCCTGGGCTGCATTAGGCAATGTATTGCCAGCAGTTTGAGGGAGGCGATCTTTTCCTTCTACTCAGCACTGGTGAGATGACACATGGAATACTGTGGCAGGTTCTGGGATCCACAGTACAAGAGAGACATAGGCGTGCTGGAGCGTCCAATGAAGGGACATAGAAATGATGAAGAGACTGAAGGTTCTCATATTTGGGGAAGGGCTAAGAGAACTAGGACTCTACAGCCTAGAAAAGGCTCAGGGTGGATTTCATCAATGTCTATAAATATCTGAAAGGAGGTTGCAAAGAATATGGAACCAGGCTTTTTTTAGCAGTGCCCAGTGACAGGACAAGAGGCAATGGGCACATATTGAAACACAGGAGATTCCCTTTGAATATCAGGGAACACTTTTTTACAGTGAGGGTGATGGAGCACTTGCACAGGTTGCCCAGGGAGGTTGTGGAGTCTTCCTTCTTGAAGATACTCAGAAGCTGCCTGGATTTGCTCTTGGACAAACTGCTCTAGCTGTCCCTGCTTGAGCAGGGGGTTGGACCAGACAATTTCCAGAGGTCCCTTCCAATCTCAGCGATTTGGTTATTCTAGAGTCTAGGCTATATTAAAAATAAAATAAAATAAAATAAAATAAAATAAAATAAAATAAAATAAAATAAAATAAAATAAAATAAAATAAAATAAAATTAAAAAGATGAAATAAACATTTTAAAAAAGGCCCTCCTGATCCACCCAATAGTTCATCCTATTTGCTTTACATGAGTCACCAAGGGCTATTTCCAGAGCTTTGCCAGTTACATCAAAGAAACACTGGCAAGTACTCAGTTATTACTATAAACATAAATCATTTGCTGGCTTCCAACCCGGCCGGGGTCATGAGGGCACTACAGGATGAAAAACAGACCCTCAGACCCTTTCCTGATTAACTCCATATTTGGCCTTAGACCAAAAAAAAAAAAAAAAAAAGAAGATGTTGAAAACATGCATCAGAGAATGATACCGGAGCTGAAGATATGAAGAACTGTCATCCTAGAGTTATGGACAGGGCCACAAGCTGTCTTTTTAGACTTATTTTCAAGCTACAAGCAGAACAAACACCAATGTGGCAGCTCCTTTCCAGGCAGAGAGTGGTGATTATTATTGAAACGTGTGCATTACAGTGCTGCTAGATGGGTAGCTGGTTGGGTTTGTTTTGCGTTTGGGTTGGGTTTGGGCGGGTTTGGGTGGGTTGTTTTGGTTTGGTTTGGTTTGGTTTGGTTTGGGTTGGTTTGGGCAGACTGACCCGCAGCAGCACCACTGCGCAAACAGGGTGCTGCTGGTTGAGCCAGGAGGTAAACACACATTTTTTAATTGCGCAGTTGGGCTTCTGCACTGCACGGGGTACTGACGGGACGGCCTTGCGCTGCCAAGGCACGGGTGACCAACAGCAGACTGGCTGCAGAAATTAAACGATGAAACTGAACCCGCCATAGGGGCCAGGCTGGGCGGGGCCATGTCAGCGCTCAGCCCCGGCCGCACCGCCCCTCCCCGCCGGTGAGACCGCCCACGCGCAGAGCCCCATGGGAGTTGTAGTTATTTCCACTCCCGCCGGACCGCTCGGGGCCTTCCCTGTACGGGCGTGCGCGGGGAGCGCCCTGCTCCCAAGGTGCTCCGCGACGGAGCCGGGGCAGTGAAGCGAAGGGGACTACGTTTCCCGAGGTGCCCCGCGGGCGGCGCTGGCCGGGCGCGGCGGGGCGGTTGGCGGAACCGGCGCGGCGGTTGAATTGCGGCGGCAGGAGCGCCATGGAGCTGGCGGCGCTCGTCAGGAAGCTGGGTAACGGCTGGCGGCACCCTCCTTCCCCCTCTCCTTCCCCCTCTCCTTCCCCCTCTGTCCGTCCCGTCGCGGTACCGAGCCGCCGCGCTTCTCGTCCCTCTCCCGTGGTGTTGTTTTTGTCTGAACGAGGAATTGTCCGGTAATCTTAACTCGGTTTTGTCCCGTTGGGGGCGGGCAGGTCACGAGCTGGCGGAGATTCGAGAACGCGCTCTGAGGAATATCCTGCTGAAACTGGATCACAACTTGATTTCCTACGCCGATCTAGTCCAGGAGAAGGTGCTTTTCCTTAACCTGCTGGAGTGGTTCAATTTTCCGGTAGTGCCAATGAAAGAGGAAGTGCTGAATTTTGTGAGCGGTTTGATCAAGGTACGACTAACTTGCCTTTATCCTTAAACTACGTCTTTGGGGTGCTAAACAAAACTGTACGCTATGTGGTTTTGTAGCTCCTGGTAATGAGATTCTACACTGTCTTTTACAAAGCAGGGAAAAAAGAAACATTCTATCATTCTATGTAAACGTAAATGGAAACCGTTTGAGTGGCTTGCTATGCAATTGGTTGGAGGGGTAGCTGGAAAAATGATTATTTACTGTCTTTCTGCTTTAGTTCTTCTTCACTTTCCCATTTAGTGTTTTAATTTCTTCTTGCACTTGCACTGTTCCCGAGAAGTGAAGATTTGAGCAGGATTACTACTTATTCTTAAAAGGTTGAGAGAACCTTGCTTGAATTTTACAAATTTCAGCCAATGAGAATGTTTTAATCACTAAACAGCAACTATACAGAAGAAATGAAAAAGCATATCCTTGATACTAGTGAAAGGTCTACAAAACCCCAAAACAAATAAAGGGCAAACCAAACTTAAGTGTTGTTTATAACTCCTTTTTTCCCTTCCTTTCTCAGAAGTCCTTAAGATTCTTCTAGCTAACTGTCGATTATTTGTCCTAATGTAGCATCCAGCTGCTGCCCAGAAGATGATTGGAATTGGTGCTGTGGAGTTCTTCTCTCAGCTTCGTGCTGATGTTGAACCAAACTTGCAAGCTATAATTGATGGGATTGTGGATGGACTGTTCTTACTTCCTGCTGAAATTCCTAGTTATTTATCACGAGATTATCAGGCTCAGTCTCAGTCTTCAGTAGATCAACAAGGTAAACTATATATTTGGGAGCGTGACTTATATAGAATGAAAATAAAGTAAATGAACAGCTTCTAGGTTTTGAAATGTGGGCATTTTGAGGTGTAGTTGATGAATGTATTCTTGGGAATTGAGTGAAGTCAATGATTATGCCAGAAAAAGTATGACCTTAACTTAATCATGTAATGCCTTTAATGGAATTATCTGCACAAGAAAAGCCCTGTTTGTAATCAGACATTCTGTCCAGTTTCACAGTGTGTATTAACTTATAATTTGAAAGAGGCGTGACACAGGAGTAACTTCCAAAGATTGCTTTATGGTAGCGAGCGTAGCAACTTTTTGAACAAAACTATAATTAAGCTGGCATGCTTTGCTACATTTCTTTGCATAGCGGACTTTAGTTCTGGGAGGAATAAAAAAAAAAATACAAGCAGTAAATTACCCTAGTAGAAGTTTTTATTTTAAAACTGCTAAGGCCTTACATAATCCTCCAGCATCTGTGGGAAAACCACAGATGTTATACTGTACAGTAGTAATGGCCACAACTCTGTCACATTGTGCAATCTCAGAGATAAAAGTAGCTTTTCTGTTGTTTTTGCAACCTGTCCAATGCTCAGAATTTCAATTTGCCAGAACAATCTGATAGCTGTTCATTGATTTATTTTTTAATTTTTTTTATTTTCTCCTCCCTGTGTCCCAATAAAAGTTCAGCAAGATTTTCATCTAAAATCCCTGGTGTATGGGGAATAATGTAATATATGCATTCTTAAAATATATTTATTTGGAACTCCCTAATTGAAATATAACACACATTTCCTTCTTATACTGTAAATTGCATATATGAGTGATCAAATAGGTTCCAGATAGGTTGCTTTTGATGTTACATACCTTGTGTAGATTTTGTAACGTAGTTTGCATATTGATTGCACCTATTAAATATTAATATGCATATTATATACAGGGGACACAACATTGCAGCTGACTTGAAAAAGTAGCAGTATGGAGACATTTTCGATTATAAAAGTTGCTTTTATAAATAAATAACTACAAATAGCATCTTAGCTGCTATTTCTCCCTCAGTATGCAAGGTAGTGTAAAAAAAGAAAGGGGGGGGGAAATTAAGACATGATTACAGTTTTGTTTTCTTTGCTTTCCCAAGTTCATTTTAAATCACTTTCAATTGTAGGATGAAAAGGAGGCAGTTCAGGTAAAGCAATAAAGATAAATTAACTTTTGCTCTCTTTTTTTTTTTTTTAATTAATTTACCCTTTATTTGTTGTAGTTCCACCTCAAGAGGAATTATTCACTGGATATTTTTGTCAAGATAGAAGCACTATGCCACGGTTAGAAATACCTCTCAAAAGAACACATGGTATGTATATTAATTACAGAAAGTATGTATATAATTGCAGAAAGTCCATAGAGGTGTTCTATAGATTGAATTTCAATTTCAAATATTAATATTGGTTATTCGTTTTCCTGTTTTTTAGGTGCTTTAGAAATCTTTACCTTATACCTAAATAAAAAAGTGTTAGTTTTATTTATTGTCAGTAAAATATGAAAATAATATTGACAAACACAGACAAGTATTACTTTGACAAGTCTTTGCCTGCACCAATATGCTAGTGGCAATTCCCATAATTAACATATCATACAGTGCTTAGAAGTAGATTTTAAAACCTGACTTTGTAGTTACTGTATATTATACACTAGATTACTTTTTAGCAATGCATTATCTATCTTTAGAATTGTGGAATAACTTCTATGAACTTAAAGTACGTTAAAAGTTACGTAGTGTTATAATTTAGTAACAACTAGAATTTCTTCTGCCTTAAAAGTAAAAGCATGAGGTCAATTTCCCGCTTTTAGAGATTATGCAAGTATTCTTTAGCAGCAGAACAAAATTATAACTTGAGCTGGAAGCATGATGTGGTCGATCAAGTACTCTTTCACTAATAATGTGTTTTCCATTTGCTAAAACCTATTTCAATAATCTTAAAGCACTAGAATGGCTCAGGTTGTAAACGACCTTAAAGACGATCTAATTCCAAGCCCCCTGCCGTGGGCAGGGACACCTCCCACTAGATCAGGTTGCTCCAACCCCTATCCAACCTGGCCTTGAACACTTGAACATGGATGGGGCATCCATGGCTTTTCTGGGTAACCTCTTCCAGTGTTTCACCATGCTCTGCGTGAAGAATTTCCTCCTAACATCTAATCAATCTAATCAAAATCACCCATCTTTTAGTTTAAAAACATTCCCCCTTGTCATGTCATTGCCTGAGTAAAAAGTCACTCTCCGTCTTTTCTATAAGCTCCCTTTAAGTACTGAAAAGCTGTAATGAGGTCTCCTTGGAGCCTTCTACAGCCTAAACATCCCCAGTCCTTTTCATAGGAGAGGTGTTCCAGCCCATCTTTGTGGCCCTCCTCTGGACCCACTCTAACATCTTCACATCATTCTGGATGCAGTATTCCAGGTGGGGCCTCTCAAGAGCAGAGCAGAGGGGCACAACCCTTGACCTGCTGGCCATCCCTCTGTTGATGCAGCTCAGGATGCAGTTGGCCTTCTGGGCTGCAAGCACACACTGCTCTAAATGAGTTCTTCTCCCAGGCTGTACTAATGTCTGGGATTGCCCTGAGCCAGATGCAGCACCTCGCATTTAGACTTATGGAACCTCATTAAGTTCTTATGGGCCCACTTTGCAAGCTTGTCCGGGTCCCTTACGATAGCATCCCTTCCTTCTGTTGAATCAACTGTACCACTCAGCTTGGTATCATCTACAAACTTGCTGAAGGTGCACTTGATCCTAACTGTCTGTGTCATTGATGAAGTTGTTAAATGGCACTGGTCCCAAGACAGACCGCTGAGGGACACCACTTGTCACCAGCCTCCATCTGGACATGGAGCCATTGACCACACCCCTCTGGGTGTGACCTTCAAGCCAACTCCTTATCCACTGAATAGTCCACCCATAAAATCCATATCTCTTCAATTTTGGAGATCAGTATGTTGTGTGGGACCGTGTCAGAAGCCTTGCAGAAGTCCAGGTAGATGACATTAGTTGGTCTTCCCTTGTCAACTTGCTGCAGTCACTGCATCATAGAAGGCCACCAGATTGGTCAGGTACAACTTGCCCTTAATAATCACATTTCATTGTGATTTGGCCTTTATTCTTTGATATTGCTGAAAACTCATCAGTAGTGCTTCATTTTCTTTTTTTAAATGTATATTTAGTAAAAGGAATTTTTTTTCAGATCTCATATAGAGTATCATATTTGATAGTTATACCCTAGTACACTCTACTCATATAGAGTATCATATCATATTTGACTGCTATAGAAATATACAGTTTAATATTTCTATAAAATATGCTCTAAAATACCTGCTTTTTTCATTTTATTCAGCAAAATGCTTGAAATTTTCCACTTTTCCTTGGCTAACTCTTACTTCAACTGATAGACACATTCTTTCATCAAATGAAAGGTACAGTAATAGAAGCATTGTGTTGTTTTGTTTTTGTTTTTAATTGTTTTTTTGGGGTTCTAAACTTCTTTCCTTCTGTCATTAGGCTGTTCCTGTAAATAACCAATGAGTTAATCTTTGATAAATAGTTGTAAATACGACACTGAAGTTTAGCAGAGCAGATAAACAAGGAGTTGTAACAGGGCAGGATTCTTCCTAATGCCTGTATCAATTCTTAGTGTTTAATTCGGTGTACGTTTTTTGTTCATGTTGGTTCAGTTTTCTAAATTTGTCAAGTGAGTCAAATACATCATTCAGTTAATTTTAGAAGATGCTGGAACAAAATCTTTATTTTATCACTGTTTTCCAACACCCCCCCCCCGCCACTTGATAGAGAAAAACTTTTGTCGCAGTGCCTTATTCAAGCAAGGCACTCAGATCTTCTTTCTGCACTGGTATTTTTTTCTTCATATAGAAAACTAATGTCTGAAGTGGCCCAAAGAAGTTTTTCCCAAGGAAAGCTGGGATTCCTTGTGGGATAGATTTGCTGGCATAGCCAGCAATGCATTGTGATGAACTAGATTATTTAGCAAGTCTGGTTAATTGTAAGGTTTCTTGTAACAGATTTTTGCTTTTTTTTCCTTTCAAAAGATTTCTGAAGTTGGAAAATCTTTTTAACTTTTCATCTGCTTTATGTAGAAAGTGTAGTGTAGGAAAAAAATTAGATCCTTGGAACAGGACATTTGAAATTTTAATAGTGGTTTTAAAAACAGTAAAAATAGAAAAAACAAAAACTGAAGTAGAACATCCAAAAGGCTCTTTTATTTACTGTAATACTTTTTAGCTAATAGCTACTAAATTTGTTACTTTATATAACTTCCCACATATATAATTTGAGTGCTTCATAGTTCTACATGAACCTTACTAACCGAAGAAGCTTGGTAAGTGTTAGACTGCTTGCTATATACCACTGAGATAATCACTAGCTTCACAGGGAATTACCAGTCTTTCTTATTTTAATTTCAAATTCAGAATCAATACGGTTATTTCTCTTCTGGGAACTTAATTTTATATGACAGCTGGAATTGAGTTTTTCCTTTATTGTGTACACAATTAGTGTAGCTAAGGAATAACTCAAGTTTAAAAAAAAAAATTGCAAGACAGTAGAATTACAACTGTTTTTTTGGTTCTTCAGTGTTGTGATTATAACTTTCTTGTAGAGAGTTGTTCAAGCTAATGATTACTGTTTTCTTGTTTTTGATGTACATTTAAACACAAAATGCATTTTTAGCTCTTTGAGAAGTAGCAACCAAAGTTTAATTTGGAGTACTTGTGAGCTTCTTCAGGATGTGATTATGCAAGATTTTCCTGCTGAGATCTTCCTTCAAAGACCAAAGATTGTTCAGGCAAGAACTAACATCAAGTTTACTGATTTTGTTTTGTTATGGAATCAGTTTTGTCAAGTAAGAAATGATGTAAATGCTACAACTTGTTTCTTAGCAGAAATCCCTTTAAGTCAAACTCTAGATGCACTGAAACAGTGACATTAGCTCTATATCATGTATGTATTAGATCTAATTATTTTGTTGTAATCATGTATATTATTAATCAGTAATGAAGTGTGTTGTGAAGTAATACTTCATTTCATCTGGGTAAGGCAAAATTGCGTTCCTGGAATACACACCATCCAAGGGCATCATGAAAGCAGTAGTTTAATTGGAAATAAAATAATGAGAAACTCAGTTTTTCTTTGAGACTGATAGCCTTGTATTCAGTGAGAAAACAGTACTTAAGTCTATTTATTCATTACTATGATTTTTACTTAGAGACATTTTTGAACTGTATTTAGTGCAAGGTTCTTTCTATCCTGACTGCTCATGAAAGTGCATTAATATTGAGCTACCAGTGTTAATGGTTTTATATTTGCAGAGCCTTTTATCTCTGCTAAACCTGGCTTTTGGAGGAGATGGAAGGCATCGGTTAGCTTTGCAGGCCGTGTCTTGCCTGCAACAGTTGTGCATCTTCTTAAGAAGCAGACTTAACTTTCACAGAGATCCAAGTTTTTTTTCCACTGAGCAAGGTAGGTATTTTTATATAGTTTAAATAATATTGCCTTTTTCTTAAAGGTAAGAATGTCTAATATTATTAAAAAAAAAATAAAAGCACTACTTTATAGTGAACGGAATCTTGTGAAACTGTTTTGCTAAGTGATGATGTTCAGTACTATTTATGTTAGTAAACGTTTCTTGAGTACTTGCATTATTTAAGAATACTTATTTTTCAATATTAAACATTTTCAAATTAAATGTATTATTTGAATAATTTCCTATGATATTCCATGTATCAACTTTTTTCAGTAGACAACTATTCTTAGGTTAGCAGGAGAGGGGTTTACAAATAAACCTAAATGAAATCTGTAAAATAAAAGTGGGCAGTTCTTGAGTCTCAGAAAAGTTTTTGAGTTATTAGTGCTTAACAGTTTACTTACAAATTGCTTGAAACTTGGTAACTTCTTTGTATTCTGATGTCTGAGAATAATTCAATCGTTGTTTCAAATTTTACAGTTGTTATGGCGATGTTTTCAGGGCTTAAATTTTGTAGATTTAATGACGTAGACTAGTTGTAATGATTTTCTTATTTCCATTTAGTCAGCTGGATTTAATCAACAAATGTCAGTCTGGTTCTCTTCATAAAATTGCCAATATACTTGGTCTCTTAATCTCTTAATCTATTGGCTGTTTCTTTACTAATTACATTATAACATCAGCAAATCCAATAGCCTTAGTCAGAGACTGTATTTGTATTTTGGTCGGTTATGACGTAAATCTTGTTGGCTCTTTTTTTGATATGTTTTAGTATCTGTAACTCAGTGTCTTTATGCTTGACTTGAAATACTTGACCACATCCAGTGCAACATTAATTTGAAGCTTATGTAGCTTAAAAAATATAATTCTCCATTGTGCAGTTCTAAGACTAAAACAATTACCAAAATATGGTATGAAATTATTCCAGTGTTTTTTTTTTAATATTCAAAATTTATTATTAATAAATTAACACTGTAGTTTTCATTGTTTTGATGCTTTCCAGTGTTAGGCCATCCTAGCTTGCCAAACTTGTAGTTTTTCATATGCTACCTTAGTCAAGTAATGGTAAAAGTAATTATATAGTATTGTTAAGAGTAATAGATTTCATTAATGGATAATATACAACTTTTATAAAGGCACAGCTTCACAGAATTCATCTATATCTTATTGTCAAGAAGCAAGAGGTCCTCCTCGTTCTCAGAATCCATCACCTGGAAGTAGTAGTCCTCGGCCATCTGTGATTGGAAGGACAGTTCAGCGTCCTAGAGGAGATGGTCAAGATTGGGATGCAGCGTCTTCTAGGTGAATAAAATAGGAAATAAAGTTATACTTCAATTAATATTATTAATAGAGAATTATGGCATCAACTCCTTTGCAGTGTGTGGGATTATGTGAGTTTTGTTAACCAGCTAAAATTCAAACCATGTTTATGGAAAGTAATCAAATGGCACAAAAAATCAAACAGTTCTTTAAATAGTGTTGAGAATACTTGAGATCAGTCTTACCTGCCATATTCTGTACCCAACCAATACTTTTAACAAATCTAAGTATTATTATTATGCTGTTTGCGTGTGTATTATTGAAAGACAAATAAATGTTTATTCAGGGTTAAGTCAGGGTTTTTTATTTTTTGTTTGGCAGATGACCCTAGGTTCTTAAAAACTGAATGGCCATCACATAGGTAACAGTGTAAAGTATTGCCAAAAATACTGTGCTGTATAAAGATTTTCAATAAACTCTTTAAACCTTGGTGCTAAAGCTGACAACAGATTTCAGGTGTACATCTTCTAAAAATGCAGCTTCAATTTGAAATTCCAAATTCACTGCATGTCCTCAACATGTTGAGATTGTTGTTTGTGTGTGGATGTTACTTATCTTGATACAATGTACTTAAAGCTACCAGTCCAGAATCACCATCTTATTTACTGCATAACATTTGGGAACTTAAAAGGTCTTACAAATCTTTACCATGTGCTCATTTGTAGTTCTTTTGAGTCTTTATGGCATATTGTCTTAATGATTGAGTTATGTGTATATGTGTTTTGAGAGTGAGTCGTTATGGTAAAAGGTTTTTTTTACTCACATTACATCTAATATATTCAGGTTTTGCTATGTATGTGTCACTATAAATGACTTCTGGGTTTTAGGCATTCTAGGAGCTGGCTATTTTTCTGAGATGAACAGTTAACAGTTCAGTATGTTGGAGCATATTGTGCAAGAGACGGTGATGGCTCTGGCTATGAGTGTAGTAAGGGAATTTGCATAAAAGATAATGACAATGATGAGGCATCTATGAAATAGAGGGTGAGATAGTGATAATTTGTTAAAAGTATAAGGCCATACTGAGAGCTGTTCATGAAGGTACACTTCTCTTCATGCATCCTTTCTGGCCCTGAATCATATTTGTTATGATTTGTTTGTTTGTTTGATTATAATGTAACTCAGAAGTAAGGTAAAGAAAAATGTAGCATTGAATAGAAAATATATTTAAGGAGCCAATGAAACAGAAATTACTATAATGTTGCTTTGACATTCTTGATTTTAATATGGAAGAGCAATTGTTAATGAATCTTATTCTTTTGAGCATAATATGTAATATATAAACTATTTGTTCTTTGCAGTTCTATAAATAACTCTTTTTTCCTTATTCTTGAATCTTGAGACTCTTCAATCTGTCTGTTTGTCTATTTCAAATTCTGCCTGGAAACTTAACCTTTCCTCTTCTGAATTGTTTTTGATTGATACCTCTTCCTTACCCTCTGGTAAGTGCAGTCAGAACCACTATGTATTATTGAACTCTCCTATTTCACTTGTAGTCTTCTATCATCCTCTTAATCTTAGCTTTTAAACTCTTAGTTACTGTGCTTGAGATTTTTTTTTTTGTTAGGTAGACAAAATAGCACAGTAATACCACAATTCAGTTTCTTCAGGTTGTTTAACAGCAACAGGAAAAAAAAAAAACTATAAAAGTCATGCAGGTTGTTAAAGCAATTCAAATGTTGTTTACTATGCTAGTTAGATTAATTCAGAATTACGTTAATTATAATGCAGCCAACAGAATTAAATTCCTTCTGAAAGCACCTGGAAAGTGAAGCTATGAACTATATATTTTTATGTAGTTAAGACATGTATGTATATAAAGCTTTTATTTTAATATATACTTGGTTGCACTTTTGGGGGAAGGTAATATTTTCTGTTTAACGGTGGACAGAGAAAGCCCTACAGTCTGTAATAAAGTCTGTAACGTTTTCTAAGGGTTCTGTGGCTAGCTGCATAGAATGGTTTTAATGTAGTTGGTATAATTTGAGTTGAAATTTGATTTAATGTGGCCTTGCTTCAAGCATCTGTTAGACTTTCTTCATAAAAAAAAAAAAGCTTCAAATCAACTGATTTTTCTCTTGCAATATTGTATCTCTTCATTGCATGTGATTTTTTTGAGTATACACTTATAAGTGTGAAAATGACTGCTAAAACAGTAGGCATTCACTTGTGATCCTACTAGTTATGATTTAAAAAAATATATAAATCATACAAGAAAATCTCCAGCTCCCTGCAGCACTGGTGAGTATCAGAAAAGATTGGGAAGGAGGGGGATGCAAGACGTTAAAATACTTCGTCATCTTTTATGTATATACGGATTTTCTTTGCAAGACTTAACGTATCTCTGTTTATCTTTTGTTTGTTTTTCTTTATTGTTTTAAGTGGAAACAGTACTCAAGCAAATGCAAACTCGAGAATCTCTCTGCATTCTCCACTTGATGTGCGACATATTGGCCTGCCAGATACTGAGAATGAAGACACTTTAGAATTGCAGATGAAGCAGCTTAGCCTTCCTCAGTTCTGTGTTTCAGTCTTGGAAAACGCTATACCTCTTCTAAGAACAGGTGAGAAAATTCTGAATGAAATACTTCACTGGAGATTTTTGTTCAGATCATAAAGGTTCAATCTTCTGTTTGATTTACAGACTTGCGGAAGTTTTAGGTGCCTTAGGGACAGTGAGGAGTGGTAGGATTAAGTGTGTGTGTGTGAGGGGAAAAATGGCATGGTGAAATAGAACATCACTCAGGAAGAAGGAAAAAAAGCTTACCAAAATGTGTCCCAATCTCTTTGAGCATGTATTTTTTTCTCATGTTCAAGAATTAATAAACAGATTCGGGAAAAAATGTTTGTTTTTATTATGTATGAAGTAAGAAACACAAGTAAAGATGGTCTAATTGCAACTAATGATTTTTATTTCACCTTAATTCTAAATTGCAAAATCTTTTGTTAGTGTTTTTGTTCTTAGGTTGTCTAAAATGGTATTTATTTGTAGAACAATTCAAAATAGATATTGGTAGAAGAGGTAAGGTTTTCAAATATAGGAGCTGGAAATATGTTTCCAGCTATTTCCATATTGATTTGTGATTGATTAGAATACTAAGTGTTTGTGTTCTTTTTTTTTTTCTAGTAGTATGCCTGTCACAGTTTCCTGAGCTGGAATATGAGGATTTAATTAAAAAAAATAAAATATGTATGAATCTTATACTTTTATTCAGTGTTTTTTTTTTTAATATTCTTTATAACTTTTTATGACTTCCTCTTTTATCACAAAATACTCTTAGTGTATTTGATAGTAACATCAGCATTCATCTATGTCACTAGGAAAGTTTATTCAATCCATTTTTTTGGTAATAAAGCAAACTCACATTAATAAGAGCTTTGCTTTTTCCTTTTAGGATAGTGATATTACATAAAAATACTAACGCTTCAGAAGCACATTCTTGACTTCTGGCATCATCATTTATTATGTAGAAAATTTTATTTACCATCTTTTCCATTTCTGACATGTCACTTCAAATCTATGGAGTTAAAATATAGTGAGTTTTTTCCATCATTGAGGAGTGTTTGTTTAAAGTTTCTTTGCAGCTTATCATAGAACTAAAATTCATTTTCAGATGAATTTGGCCATTTCTCTTGCTCTCTTTTTTCTAAACTTCTACTTAGTCTAATAGATCATATTTCTTCCTTCTTCCACTGTGCTGTAATGAGACAGAGATAAGAAAACCAATATTTTTATCTAGTTCCCATTGATCTGAAACCCTGTGATGTGAGTGCACACTGTGACATTGTAAGACAGTCACTGTCTTACAGCGCTGTAACGCACTGTTCCTCATATAATGGTGTTTTCTGAATTGCTTTTTCAGTAAAATGAACAGGAACCTTTACTAGCATTATTATTACTTTAAAATAAATATCCTTTTTCTTCCAACTAGTTAAGTTACTAGGTACGGGAAAATCAATAACTCTACTGTAAAATTCACTTATTTATATTTTACGATGTAACATACCTTTTGGTTAAGCTCAAATTCTGTTCCTTGTAGAGATGCTCTCTGGAACTTTTATTTTGTTGTGCTGACCTGGTTTGTTATGTAAAGTTGTTTCAGAAATCGATAGTTGTGTTTTTTCTTTTTGGTTGTTTTTTTTTTTGTTTTGGGTTTTGTGGTGTTTTTTTTTTTTTTGTTACCATATTTGTCTGAAGTTCAGTGGTTTAAAGTCAGTGCTAATACAGAATGTCTTAATGACAATTATTTAAATCTGAACATATCCGTCTTACTCTGCGTTTCATAATAATGAACTCTTATGATTCCCCCAGGTGTTGAGAAATGAATATCTTGCAAATGTACTCATGTAAGAGTATGGTGCAATGGTCTTAGAATCATAGAATCTTAGAATCGTAGAATATCCATGGAAGGGACCCATAGGGATCGTCAAGTCCAACTCCTGGCACCGCACAGGTCTACCCAAAAGTTTAGACCATGTGACTAAGTGGACAGATATGTTTAAAAAGTAAAACAAATAGATATTTGAACACCTTATTGCTTCCTTATTCAGCTAGTTTGGCTTGTAAGATCAAACTCTTTAATGTGATTTTGGTCCAGCTCTGTAGGTGCAAATGTGCTCTTACAAGCCTGGTTTAGACACAAAACTATGTGTTTCAGAGTTGGGTTTGGAGAACACCTGTTACTTAATTTCAAATTCCTTTTCTTTGCCAATATTGTAGCAATTTAAAGGTTCTCATTATTGCTTCCCAGTTTCACTGATATGTAACATAAGGTGATGGAGATAATTCTATTTTAGATGGAGGTAATTGAGATGGAGATAGTTCTATTTTAGAACTAGATTCCTCTCCTTGACTGAAGTCCCATCCTGTGGATCCACCACTATCACGTCAGCTGTCTTGTCATGCTAACCTCATACATAGGTAAAGATTGAGAGAGTTTAGTCTCTTGACATAGACATATGTTTGTTTTTTGTCTGCCTGTAATTAAAATGAGTAACAGCAATAGTGATGATCTGTATGAAGAATTGTAATACAGACAGTTCAGAACAACTGGATATGATAGTTGTGCATGTATGTCAATTCATGCTGCTGGCCCACTTTGATATCTGAGTACCTGTGCTATCTGCAGTTCCTGTGGGTTTGCCTCCATGTAATACACTTACATCTTTCCTTGTGATAGTTTCTAAACAGTGTTGCAGTACTTCAGTTTACATTTCATTTAATATTTGTGAATTTTGTAGATCTGAAGGTAACAATTTGCTAAACTAGTCAGCTTGTGTAGCGGTAAAAAGTTGTTTTAACTTTTTTTTTTTTTGCTGTCAGGTTACTTATATATTCTTTAGTGTGGTCTTCAGCAGAAATACTAATATTTCTGTATTAAAATACTAATAATACATGGAGAATGGAAGCTACGTTTCATGTGATTAGCTATTGTATTATTTGCTTTTGAAATCAGATTCATAACTGTGTTGTATATGGATAAGGAGATTATACCAATATAGACAGGTTATCTCAGCAATCTGCCTAGCGGGAAGGCCATAGTCAGCTGAATTAACAATTCAGTATCTTTGTATGTGTATGAATATATTTGTCATATTCTTCTGGAGGTAGAGTTTCTTATATTAAAGTGTTCCAAAAATATTAATCATGCTAAATGATTCTGAAAAAACAGAATATTGACTTTGTCCCATTCATTGGTTCTGCCAACTCATTCTTATGGCAGTCCTGAGTTTGTACTAGCCTATGAAGTAGAAACAGTAGAACAACATTTTTGTTAATTAAGATATTTCTGTTACTGCTTATGAAGTACTTTCCTTATCAGGTGTCACTGCAGTCTGGTATGAACCAGTCAGTACTTGATTGGGAAAACTGCTTTAACGTTATTTGCTATCAAGATAATTATATATTCTTCACTGTAGTCTTCGAGGGTGGTATCCAGCTACAGAATAGATTTTGTGCGTGGAAGTTGTTTCCTGCATTATTGCAAATGTAATGTTTAGCTTTTAACTTCAAAATTTTCTGAAACTATAGCTCAAATTAAAAGCACCCTTATTTAATACTTGCATTATAATAGTAATTTTTTATTGTTCCTAGTGATTTACGAAGTCACCTTTCAACTGCCTTAGACACAAGTAATTTGATTAAGAATTTGCAAAATAATGAAGAGAGGACAAAAGTTATCAGGCATATACTTCTCAAATTGGTAATATTTCCTTAAAATGAATGGAATACAGCACTTCTGTTAGATTGGAAAAAGCAAGCCTTCAAAAAGGCCCTGTGCCCTTCCTGCCATATGCTCGCTCAAAGCAGAACACTTCAGCTGCAAATTGCATGAGCTTTCATCATTTTCCCTACATTACTGATGCACACATTTTCCCCCACCCCCACCCCCCCTTCAAGTATACCAACAAGGCTTCTGCAGTGTGTAAAATCTACAAAAGGTAGATAAACTATTTTGTTCTCTCCTTTATACGCACTGTATCAAGCTATGGAGCTTGCTTTTTAATTTTTAAAACAGATCTTGAGGGATGCTAAGTCTTTATCATAGTTCAAAAATGAATTGGAAAATTCAGTGGTGTGTAGAATTCATCCATGCTTTTAAATAGAAACATACCATCAAGAAGTAACTAAGCCAACAGTTGAGATAAATCAAGTATTTGGGGGAAACTGTCACAGTATGGTTCTCTAGGATGCCAAACATCCTTGGCATCCTCTGTTATCTGAGGTTGAAAATACTTGGTTGAGCTCCAGATATTCTGCCTTGTTCTTTGTGAAACATCCTAGTCTTTCACTGCTTCTCCTCTAACATCTCATTATTTGTGGATCTTAGGGAGGGGTTGTATTTGTAGTTGTAAATATTTAAGCTTAGGTCGGGTTTCTTTGTAGTCCGATGTCCAAGCATAAAGCTGTACAAAGTATCAAAGTCACTAATAGCTCAGAGTAGCCTTATTATTAAGAGATTCTGAGTCAGAAGGAGTAACAAAATATTAGGGAAAGGGGAGAAAATGTTATGGAGAAAAGTACAAGCAGATAAAGTGGTTATTCATCTGCCTTTCAAAAGAAGACCTCAAACAAAATAGTCTAGGAGGAAAACCATTCTGCTATACTGAAAATGCAGATTATCAGGCAATATATATTGAATATCTGTAACCCAGCTCTCTCGATGGATGTGGTGGTGGAAGTAAGTGACTATTCTGAACTTCATCAAAATCCAGTAACTGGATTTACAGCTGTAATAAAACATAAATTGTATTGCAGGATATAAGCAAATGCAGTGTGTTTTTTCATGGATATGGTTACTTTAATGTCTTCTATTGTGGTTTTGCCTAGTTGTTGTCTTCCATGTTTTTAGAGCTGTTGCTGGTTGAGGGTAGTTAGCATTAGCGTAACAGAAGTGTACAGGAAAACATTTCAAAATTTCAGGTTAAGAATAATCCCTTGTTCAACTTGCTGTTGTCTCAATGTCGTGATTTTGCTTATATTTTAATTTATCCTCTCATTTGTATTCCTAGGCAGTAGGAGAGTGACAATGGAAGTTCTTGAGTTGCTTGTTGAAAACATGTACCTTATTGGTGATGCTATTTCTGAGAATGTTTGGGAAGATGAAAGCCTTTTTGGATTGGAACTGGTAAGACTTTCTTAGGCTTCAGTCAAACATATTTAATAGTCTGCTTTTGTAAGCTTTTGACATTTTCTGACATGATTAATATACATATCTAATGTTCTGCTGAGCTATCGTTTTGAAAAATCTTAAATAGTTTATTACTGGTTTTATCACTGGCACATTCTTTTTATTTTAAATGTAAGTTCTTTTACCAGAAGATACTGAAGTTTCACCTCAAGAAAATAAATCATGAGTTTTGTCTTGTAGTGAAAAGCTGTTAAGTAGCCTTTGAAACACATGTAAGAAATTATCTAAGGGAAAAGTACTGACTGAACATGTTGAAGAGCATTTTGATTTAAATGACAGGTTTCACTTTATTTACACCTTATAAACTATCTGTTTAAAAGTAGGGAGATAACTGTTTAGGTCCAAAACTGGAATTGTAAAGTATGTGGTGTCCACTTCTCACACAGGACTTAGAGATCTCTGCACAGATTTCAGCTATTCTAACTCTGTTGCTTTGCTGGAAAGAAAGGAGAAAACTGTTTGGCCCAGAGAGATTCTAAGCATTATGGTGCTGATGGCTGAGCAATTTGAATTGCTGGAAAGACATACCTGAGCATAGTTGAGAATCATTATAGAGATGAAATATTAAATTAGTGATTAACAGGTGAAGTAGCTATGGTGAATTGCTCTCTTGAAGGTGTTGGAAAGCTGAAACATTAGCATGTCTTATTCATGTAGCAAGTTTATCAGAGACAAAGAGACTGAAACTTGTCTAAAAACTTGAGTTAATTGTCATCTTAATTAAATGACTTTAGCTGGAGTTCATGAAGATACCACTGAATATGAAACAATGGTATTGCAATAATTATTAAAATATTACTGGAGACTTACCTACTTGCTACTGTACAAATGATTATATATTAGCTATAGAACCTATCCAAGAATGAGAACTTTTTTCTTTGAATTAGTATATTGGTCTGTCAAAAATCTTTTGTCATTAATTAACACCAAGTCGATACTGAAGATTTCTTGCACTAATCTAAGAAGTTTTGCTTGGGAAAGTCTGTAAAAGAACTGTGGTGGTTTCACACTGATGGCTAGCTAAATTCCACCTCACCAGTCTCTCCTTCCCCTTCCTCAGAGCAGAGAGAAAATATGAGGAAAAAAGGCTCATGGGTTGAGATGAGGAGTGATTTAATTAAAGGAAGCAAAAGGAGAAAGTTATTCTCTACTTCCTGTCAGCAAGTGATATTCAGCAAGATGTCTGTCACATCTAGGGAAGTAAGGCCTTAATATGCATAGGGATTGCTCAGGAAGACAGATGCTTTCATAATGAGCGTCCCCAGCACAGTGTGACAAGCTGTAACTCTCTGGCATTGCCAGAATCAGGGCATGCTTCTTTCAAACATTCTATCGTTTTTTGGGGGGGTTCCACAGTTGTTTAGTAGTAAGGTTTAAAACCACTGAAGGAGACAGGTGACAGGTACTTGCCCATATCTTCACACGCCAATACCACACTGCCCTTGCGGCATTGTTAATTGTTAAACCTTAGAAAAAAGCATCCTGAAGACTAGTATTGGTTACCCAAGGACATTCAAAATACTCAAAAGCTATTGTAGCTAGCCCACAAGGAGAGGAAGAGGAGGTACCATTCCTTATATCCTCTACCAAATGGCTCCCAGAGGAGAAAATGGAGAAAGTGTAGTTGTTAATATTCTCCAGGAGATAGCTCCTGAAGTACACAGGTGATAGCAGAGATAATCTAAGAGCTTAATATAATCTTTGTCTAGTTGTTACATGACACGAATTAGTATATTCAATTGCATACAAATCTGTCAAAGTATAGTAGAAATGATGAGCATCATCTCACATACGTTATATTGATTGCTGTTAGATGCCTGGAAACAAAAGTTGTTCTACTAACAAGCAAAAATCTGCAAATAAGCTTGGTAATTGTATGCAGTTATACCTATTTAAAACAAAACAAAAATATTTGCTGTTATATGGTGGTATAAGTTGATACCAAAGTTCTTCCACAGGTAGAGCTTTGAGATTTATTAGTAAAGTATTAGTTTGTTTAAACTTAACCTCAAAGAGGTGTAGTATCTACATTTATGATGCAGAACTGAACTGTGCAGTGCCATTCAAAAAAGCTAAATTTGATAGAACAATTTGATTAAAACAAACAAACAAAAAACAGCTCTTTATCTTTCATAGTGTTTAAGTAGAAGATGAGCAATTGTATGAAACAACTGTTAAGCTTACCTATGTGTTACTTAATAATATATCGAATAAGACAGAAATAGTGTTTATAGAATTGTTAGGTTTCAGTGCTTAGAAAACATTCTTTCTCTTTGTTTTGTATTAGCTCTAAGGGGAGGAGGTCATGTGTCTCCCTTCCAGGAAGCTTGAAAGCATTTCTTGCTGATTCTTGATGTTCCTTTGTTTATCCAGTTTTAAAATTTTGCAATTGATTATATTTGTGAAAATTATTTATTTTGGAAATCCCAATCAAAAATACTTACATTTGAATATCTATGCATTTCATGCATGTTTTTATGCTTCCATCCTCCCAGATAAAGTTTTTTATTTTATGTTTTTTTCATGTGTTCTTAGGTATGGTTTGATTCTGCCATGTCAAAAAGTTTTGTTATTGTAGCCTCCAGTTTTTTGGATCACAAGCTTTGAAAACAGTCCTTGCTGTCTCAAGGAGGAATAAAGTCTTTGATTCTACTGCTGACTTGAGATTCCATGGTCTTGCAGCAGAGGCTCTACTTCTTGTGAACTGTAGCAGCACAGAGAGAAACTTATTTTTTTGTACTCTATAAGAAGAGTACAAATCCTTTTCTTCTCACTGTGCAATAAGTTTTGATGATAATTTATTTAAAGACTTTAGTCGATTGCTTTTTGTCATTTTCTTCAATTTTATTTAGAGTTAGATGTATTAACTGTTTAACAGCGATGAATAGAATTAATAAGTCAAATCTCACATTTGGTATTGCCTTCTTAATTGTTACTCTGAAAACTGGCATTCTAAATCTGGCATTCCAAGTACAAAACCTGTTTTTTTCAGGTTCTAGAAAAAAAAAAAATTCCCTTTCTTGTGTCAGTGAGTTGGATCCCTCCAAATGGTAGTGATTTTATATAATTTGAGGAATGTGCTGATGTTTCCTTTGAGGATGAATGGGCATATAAAATATTTGATCTCAAATATTTTCTTTAATTTCTTTTACATTTTTGAATTAGTTTCATTAGTGGGTTCAAACTAGATCCTAATATTTCTATACTGAAAAAGATGTTCAAAATATCTCTAATGCTAGAAGTTCCAAAATGGAGTATGAGCAAGAATTAAGAAATGAAGAGGAAGGGGAGAAGAAATGGAAGAGAGAGTTATTAACGGGTAACAAAGTATTCAGAACTGCAAATGAAGGTAAAGTGAAGTCTAGAACTTAGACAAAGTTCTATTTGGAACCCAAATGAAATACTAATTTACAAATGGAAAAATGGTACAACATATACAGTATCTAGCATCTTCAAAATAACTGTACATCTTTACAGCATTTATACAGTAATTATAACATGTCAATTACTTCTAATGATCATGTGCTTTATTTATTTTTTAATTTTATCTTTTCAGAGAGACAAATTGCTTCTGGTCTTGGGTTTGCTTGGAGAAACTATATTATATCACAAAACCAATATAAGTGCAGAGCAGCCTGAGGTGATGATGGTGCATCACAGAATGGCGTTTACTAGCATTTCTCTTTTCACTATTAGATTGCTGCAAACACTTCTCCCCGTAGAAAAGGTAGGCCATCACTAATTTGAAAAGTCATGGTGTTTGGGTTTTGCATTTTAAGAGAATAAAGGGATGTTTTACTTAATGCTGGGAGAACAGCAACTGGACAGAGAAATTCATTTGACTTATATCGGCTGTTACATGGTTGAAGAAGGGAACTTTGTCTGTTCTTCAGATATTGGTGCATTCTGCAGAATCTGCTGCAGAATACAAGTCTAAAAAAAAACTTTTAATACAGTTTTTTTTCATGAGGCTTTCAAAATGTAATGTTTTTTTCTTCCTTTAACTTTTTTTTTCCTGGTATTATTCATGGTTTGCAAAGCTATGCTGCCCCCTGCTTGTTTATTGTTAACATGGTATGACTAGTACTGTGTAAAATCATCACTCCTAATTTGATGGAATGTAGTGAGCATATATGCTTTACACTTTCTACTGATTTAAAATGTTTGTTTTTAATGCTCTTTAAACAAGTTCTTGGGTAGTTGTTGTAGGATGCAAAGTAGTAAAAAAAAAAAAAAAAAAAAATCCTCTTTAAAAGTCTGTCTACATTTTTTGTCAGTTTAAATTGCATTATAGTTCTTTTTAGACATTGCTCAATTTGAATAGCAGATTGTGGTGGTTTTATTCAGGTGGGCAGCTGAGCTCCACCACAACTGCTCTCTCATTCCTGCTCCCCTCAAAGAGGAAGGGAGAGAAAATACAACACAGAGAACTCGAGGTTTGAGATGAGAAAGGTTTAATTAAAGGGAAAAGGAATGGGGAGAAAAAGAAACAAAAGAAACAATAAGTCCGTGCAGAAGCGCAGAGAGAGGGGGAAAAATTATTCTCTGCTTCCCATCAACGAGCGGTGTTCGGCCACATCCTGGGAAGCAGGGCCTCAAAACGCGTAGTGGTTGTTCAGGAGGAACAGCCTCCTCCCCCACGGGAGCCCCCCTTCTTATAGCTGAGTGTGACATCAGGTGTTATGGAATATCCCTTTGGTTGGTTTAGGTCAGCTGCCCTGGCAATGTCCCCTCCCCATCACTTGCCCACCCCCAGCCTGCTGGCTCTTGGGGGCTTGGAAGGAGTCCTGATGCTGTGCCAGCACTACGCAGCAATAGACACAACACTGGAGTGATATCAGTGCTGTTCCAGCTACAAGTGCAGAGCACAGCACTGTGCGGGCTGCTGCAGGGAAAAGGTGACTCCAGCTCAGACAGACCCAACACACAGATTCACTTCTCAGTTATGTTTTTTTTGCCATGGACATTAAATCTTTTACTAATGAAGTTGTTTCTTGTCCCTGAAAATAAGTGCAGACATATTAATCTAATGATTTTCTAATTTTTATGCTTTCATGTATTTAAATTTGCATATAGCAGGAGTTGAAAATAGTTACTGCATTTGAGGTCAAAATTTAAGCTGAATGAAGACTTGCAGTAAGGAAGACAAACAAAACCAAACAAAATGTAACCAACAGAAATCACAGTTCTTAGTATGTGATATTACTATATACAATTGTATACCTTTTCTTATTAGTAGGAGAGAAATAATTGTGGTCTGTATATTCTCTGCCATCTAGTGGTTGGACAGTAGACTGACCTGGCAAATCCATGAAGTTTTTAGTGCTGTGGCTGGATTGTATGCATCTCATATTTTGTGACTAGTTGCAGGTTTAATGTTAGAACTGGAATTTATTGGACTCCTACTATTTAATCAAAAATAAATTCTTCATATAGAACTCATTTGTTTTTTTTTTGTTTCTTCTAAATTTTAAGCAGTAGCAATAACGATGATACTTATTAGAAGACTGCAAATGCTGTTGTTGGTTTTACTGTATTTTTGGGCTGTGTTATTCTGATGCTTGTTTTCTTTTCTGAAGGCGAGTAAAGTTTCACAAAAGAGTTTGCTGAATGCTTTATTTCTTCTCTCTATGGATGTACCCTTTTCCTTGGAATATCCAAGCATTCATGAAGCTGTTGCAGCCTACCTGGAGCAGATGAGTTCCGAGAACTATAGTATTTATAAAAAAGCTTCAGAAGCTGTTTATTCCACTGAATGCACTTGTAGCTTTATGACTGAAGTTCATAAGAAGGTGTGGAATTCCATTATATAAAGCATTTTCTGTAGGCAAACTTATTTCCTGTGCTTGTTTTTTTCCCCTTGTAAAAACTGTGTTCTGGCAGTGTGAAAGAAAACTAACAGATGTATTTTATACTCATGAGGGGGAAAAAAACAAAGAAAAAAGTCAGATTGTAAGTGGGTTTATAATCTAATTATAGGTGAAGTAGGAAAAAAATAAGTACTATATTTAAATATGTAATGTGTATATGTATGCATGTGTGTATATGTTGTTGCCTAGTATTTAAATATTTTAGATATTTTAATTCCAAACTATCTGGTAATAGTATTTCTAATACACTACTACTTCTAGACTGTGTGAAATTTGGGTGGTTCACTTATGAAGACAACTGTTATATTATGTTTTTTTTAATTAGAGAGATTCCAGCATGGTGCTCAAATATTCTCCATTATTTGAATGGACTAGTAATTACTGCTGGTGCAAAATGCTTGTTCTGTTGTCACCAAAATAAATATAAATGAATGAAATACAGCAATTGATATGTCCTGTTATCTTAAATTGGAGTTGATTCATCCTTTACATAAGCATGTCCTGAACTTAATCAGCAATTTACTCAAAATATTATTCATAATGAAGTTGTAATCTTCTTCAATTTTAAGTGGCTCATGCTTAATGTGTTTGTCAAACAAGAGTATGAACACATAGGAAGATTTAAAAAAAATAAATAAAATAAAAAATTAATAGTGTTAAAATAGTGTTAATAGTGTTAAAAGTTAATAGCTTAACAGCTAAATCTTTTATCATACTCTATTCTTGGATACTTCCGAAAGTTTTTTGAGTAGTGTTAGTAGCATGCTAGTTCATGCTGTGAAAAGTTAGATACTCTTTATTCCCAGTGAGTTTAATTGATCTTTATCTGGATTCAGCAGACGAAGAGTTGTCAGCTCACAGGAGTAGGTATTAAAATGTATTTGTTTGAAATCCAATGAGTTTGTTCATTGGGTTAACTATAAGCTTCTCTGTGAAGGGCTGAATGAAACCATGTGTAGTAAAAACAGTGATGAATTATACAGTGAAGATTATACAGTAACATTTTATATTTTTATATTACAAAATTTGATAGTTTCTTTCTCTTTGTTTTACTTTCCAGGGAGAGAAGAACTTTCCTGAATTATTAGAATTGGCAGATCAAGCCTTAAATAGCCTACCCTACCATCAACATATGCCCTTGCTTCAGGAATGCATTCACATGTGCTCAAATCTGTAAGTACCTATAAAACTTAAGAAAATATCAATTAAAAAGAAAATAAATTATAATGCTTTCTCAGGTAGAATCTCAACTTGTTTGTTGAAATATTTTTGTCCTTTGTATTTAAACTTTTTTTTTTCTTTTAGCCATTGAAAGATCTCTGGTAAATAATTTGTACCATCCTGTGGTAATTTTTTTTTTAAAATGAGTGTCAGGTGCTAAAACCCCATGCTTTATTCTTTTCTGAGTGTAAGCTTTTATGATTTTGCCTTCAAAGAAGCAGTCTCAAAACATTTTGACCTGTCTTTTGAACCTTTTTTAAAGTTCTTTTGTTCCTGGTGTATTTTTGTTCCTTTCCTTCAGAACTCATGAAGGACCTATTTGATTGCATATTGTAATAAATAAGATGCATATTGCATATTGAATCTTGTTTATTAAACAGCCTGTTTTAATTTTTCATGGTAAAGAACTTAAGGTACTGTATGGTGCCTGGAAACATTTTGTATCAAACTCTTAAGTAGAAATACCAAATCTGAATTTTATGCCATTTCAGAACTTGAGTGCAGGTATTTTTTCAAAGGAAACTACTTTTAAGAGCTTTCTAATACTAGTAGCTTTTAATCCTGAAGTGTTCTAATCTTTGTAGAATTATTGTTTGCTTACAATTTCAGAAAACAGGAGTTCACTTAAACTGATTATTGTCTTTTGACTAATGTCAATTTTCTTTGTGACAATAAGATGGACTGCTATCTCTACATGTAAAAACAAAGATAACAAAAACAAATCTGAAAGCACTTTGTTTTTTTATAATTCCATGTTTTAAAGACTATTGAAAGTCAGTAGAATTTGATATTTTCAGATTAATGTAAATGTTTATCAGGTTCCTAATTTTCACAAGAGAGTTTTGAAAAACGATGGTCTTTATTTTACATATAAGTATGGAAAGACGGTATTTTTACAAATGTGATTGTTACGATTTTGCTAAAACATAATGATATTGAACTTCTGTCAATCAAGTGATTTTTCTTTTCAGGAAGTATTTTTGAGGGGTTATCCTGAAACGTAACAAGAAAATGTTTTATAGGCATCTTTAATTCCTGTAAAATAAACGTAGTCACTACATGGAAGTTACTCATAGTCAATTTTATAATGTAAATTTAACTATTTTTCATTTTAAGTTGGAAGTCTGGCCAGGCAAACCCATTGCTTCAGACTGAGGGTCAGAATGTGCTTCTCCATCTATTGGCTCATCCTCTGCTGAATATAAAAACTGAAGCTTATCGCTGCTGTCTTGAAGTGGTTAAGGTTAGAACTAAAGCTTTCTTAACACTGTTGGTGTTGTGCTAAGTAACGTATGTTGTGTGATTCCCTCATCAAGAGCATTGTTACTGCCAAATTCTGCTCACCACATTATATGCTTTAAGATCTGTATAGACACAGACTTGCAGTGTGCTATTCTATATCTGGGATTTAAAACTACTTGGTTAGATTATACTTCAGGTACTTCCCTTAAGAATGTCTCTAAAGTGAGGGGAAAACCAGTGATTGACAATTTTGCTTTTTTAAAATGATTCTTAGTAATACTGGTCACTGTTTGTTGTTTTTTTTTGGTTGGTTGGTTGGCTTGTTTTTGCTGCTGCTCTGCAGAAATGTTTCAATTTCAATTATTTTTTTTTTAAATTGAAGTGTTCATTTTTACTTGCCTGCTGAAATGAGATTGCCCAGTTTGTATTTTCCTTGTGTAGGTTTTTCACTTTTCTTTTGTTGTGCTTTTTAGTTTTTTTCCTTTCTGAGCAAAAATCATTTTTAGTTGGCTGCTTTTCAGGTTTTTGCAAGAATGTTTACTTAAGGGAAATAGAATAATGTAATACTGACACTTTCACAATATACACACACACTTACAGTCTGCTCACTTGCTTAGACTTTGGAAAAAAAATTAAAACAATAAATTAAAAAAAAATCCATGTATAAAAACATGAGGAGCATTTAAAAATATTTAAGTAGCATTATGTACAGATCTTTAACAAATTTGTGGCTTTTTTTTGTTTGGCTGTTTTGATTTTGATTATTTTTTATTTTTTTAATAAAGATCATTCAAGGCATAAAGAGTGCAAGCTTCCCAAAAATGTATGGTTGTATTCTATATTAATAAAAGTAGTGTCTTATTCATCAGATCATTTCAGGTATTCATAATTGGCTTATATCAGTGAAAATAAAAATCACCATTCTATTTTGATATCATAATACTTGGGCATAATTATATTTTCTATTATGGGTGTTAATGGGCTAAACATCATATTGATATAGCACCATTCAATTAAATACAAAGATATTGGAGCAAGTTTTTCACAAGGTGAACAAAAAAAACCACTGCCTCCACTGAATAACAGTTGTAGCTTTTTGTGAGATTTCTACCTGACTGTTATAGGTTTTGCTTATTTTAATATCATGCTGAACAATGTATAAAATTTGATTTAAAATAATAGTTTAAAAAAAAAAGTAATGCAAAATCATTATGTTATGTAGGAGTTTTTAGTCAGTGATGAACAAAGAAGGTGTTTCTACCAGGATCATAAAGTTAAACTTTTAGTGTTCCTAGCTGCAAAAAGAAAGCCTTTTACCGGAGCACAACTTAAGGCAGTCTATAAAACAAGATTCAGTAATGGGAGACTGTCTTCAATTTTAAAACTAACCATCTTTATTTTTACTGAAGGACTGTCTAGGTGTTCATAATATTGCTAAGCCTGTTTCTTCAGTCTGTCATGGAGTACACTTTCTTCTTCATCCAAAAGTTTTATATGAAATCACTACGTTTGGCCTTCAGGAAGATAAAAATGAGGTACTGTGTTTAGGAACTGTTTATAAGCTTATGTGTGGTGTTTTGAGGCTTACCTGAAGTTTTGATTTCATATGGTTTCTTGTATAGAGAAAAACTATGCAAAGAGTGAAGTTATATTAAATTGAAGGTTTTCTTCATCACAGATTCAGAGACAAAATAATGTTCTATACAGAAGATATTATTCCATGTGATACAGACTAATGACAAAATTAAATAAGCTATGTTTTTTAGTCATCTTCTGTGCAGTATTCAACACTATAAAATGTGCATATGACAAAATAGCATGTATGATGCTTTACATTTATAGTAGACATGAAGTCTCAAGTCTTTGTAAAGGTGGGATGACTTCTGAAATGCATTTATCAGTTGAGGAGCAAAAATACATCTTAAGTCTGCAAGGTTTGTTATAAAAATGTATTTCATTGCTTCAGATGCATCTGTGTTTAAATACATGAGCATTGTATTACAGAAGAGGATGAAATTGCTGTTGAGTTCAATTGTATGCACAAATGCTTAATGCTAAGTACTTAATGCACAAATGCATTAATATGCTTCAACTTTTGGTTAGCTGTGAAGCGGTCAGGCAGTTGCGCTAGATGATCTTTGAAGGTCCCTTCCAACTGAACTACTCTATTCTTTTAATTTCTTAGCTTACATATGAAGCTAAGAAAAGAGTTCTGAGAGGGAAGAAAAATGACTCAGGTTCTTTCTAACCACTTTGTAGCTGATCTGTAAGGTTGCTACAGTCAGAGGGGAAAGAAGAGTAATTAACAAAGGATTCTTGGTTATATTTGTTTTTTTTGCTGGTGATGTGAAGAATTGTTTTGATTGAATTTTGCTTCCGAGGATAATTGAAGTGTTTGATTTTTGCTAGTCTGCTGAAATAAGGTAGGGATTTTTTTAACACAACGCTACATATTTCCATTTAAAAATGTTTTTTAGAGGTTACCATTTTAAAATGAGAAGTAAAGTGTGTTTGATAATGTACTTTGTATTTATAGTTTGATAATGTACTTTGTATTTATAGTTTGATAATGTACTTTGTATTTATAGTTTGTATGTATTTTCCTTTTTTCCAAGGAAAGCATTTATTTTGTTTGTCTAGTCACTTGGATGCTTTATATTAAAAAGTCTGACTGGTCAAGCATATCAAATAAATTGATATTCAATTGATACTGAATTTAAGGAGATTGCTAAGAGAACAATACGAATGCATTATTAGGAAAAAACAACATGAAATGATTTTGTAAGCATGCATTCTGTGTCTCAACAAAGTATGTTATTCAGATCATACCAAGGCCTATTCTTTTTCCTTCTTGGATGTTTATCTCTTGTTTAAATTCTCATAAAGCATCGGTTTAACCTTTCAGATGTGATGATATGAAGACACTGAGAAGAACCTTGTATCCCAAGGTTGGGCTTAAGATTTGCCATAGATTTCTACAAATCCAGTTGCTTAAAGATAGTACAGGATTTTTAAAAGATTATAAAAGATTTATAAAAGACAGAGATTGTTCTTGTTACCTGGAGGGAGAGTATTTTTATTACTGGTGTGAAATACAATTTTTTAGCTGCTAAAGGTAGGTATTTATTTAAAGAAGAATGAATTCTGAGCTGTTTTTTTCTCCTTTATTCTCATTATAGCAATAATAATAGGTTGTATATGGTGTACATCAATACAGTATTTATATTGCATCATATACCTTTTTTCTTTTAATGATTAAAAAAACAAAAAACAAATTTATTCATGTACAATTGGAAAGTTTTGATGATCTTACTTTGTTTTCTTCAATAAAGTGAAATGGCCGTATAAGAGGTTTTAAGTCCTTCTAAATCCTCTACAGAAGCATATCATAAAGACTGGAAATTCCGGGAATTACCTCAGAATTGTAGGGTCAAAAAAATAAACTTTTTTTTTCTTTTTACCAGGAGGATAGAGGGGCTGATAGATGTATAAGTTGAAGTAATGGTTTATTTTATTTTAGTAAGATTCATTAATATTTATAGAAAAGCCAAAACAAAGTTTTGAGGGGAAAATGACTGGATAAAAAAGCATGAAGATCTTTTTAGACATGTTAGATCTAAAACAAACAAAAATAAAATTCAGGCTTATTCTTACATGAGAGACTCCAATAGTGGTCATAGTGTATTACAATTTTAATCTGGAAGATAACATTTTGGCATTGGCACATCGTATGCTTAGACTAATACGTAGGCAATCCAGAGAGGAATTATGTTCTCTATAGTTGTCTCTCTGCCTGAATGATGATTTTAATTTCAAGACTTCTTGTTTGTACTATTTAGGCAGAACTGTTTGATTTCTGTGTTCTGAGAGGCTTTATTAACAGTCTGATGTTTAGTGTGACAGACAACTTAGAAGTTGTCATTCAGTGATAGTATTTCTTCTGTAGATCCTTTCTCTTTGAGATTTTTCTTTGTATTATTATTATTATTATTTTTTTTTTTTTTACAACATTGACAAACTGACACATCAGTTCTGGTATTAGTTTCTTTTTTTTGTTGTTTAACAGGTACATTCTGCAGCCAAAGCCATTCTGATGCATCTGTTGCAGGGCCGATTAGTAATGGCAGTATTGACTTGGAACAAGTTTATTGAAGCTCTCTATCCCATCATTCCTGTTTTACAGGTAATTCTATGTGCTGTTATCTGAATTTGATGTATTAAATCATGTAAACAGCAGCACTGTCCTCTTAAACCATAGCAAGAAGTTGTAAGTACCACCTGGAAAGTAGATTAACAGTAATATACCCACAGACTTATTAAAAGTCAAATAGCGAATGTTATATGGGTCCAGATGCCAGCCAGCCAGAGTTACTACTTTTAATTTTGTAGACAGATTTTAGCCTGTTATTGCTAGTATATGAAACTGAAATGTAATAGAAATTAACAGTTATTGACTATGACTTATTTTTTTTGAGGATATGAGTTGAAATCCAAGTACAGCTTAAAACATTGAATGCTTTTTCATGCTTATTTAAGTGCCTCCCATATCTTTAAGGTTGAACGTTCAGAGATCTTTTGTGATTGTACAGTTTTCTGATCAAGTACATTTAAGCTGTGTTTTCTTTGTTTCATGTTTTGTTATTATTTGATTATAAGTATCAACAGTCAGTATTATCCTTAACATTGGTCTTCATATCTGTAATACCGCACCCATTTTATATTCCATATCTTCACTCTTGGTTCAATCTAATAGTTACTTTTGCAGCCTTCAGTCTGATTTTCAGCCTAGTTTCTCCATCAAAGTTTTTTAGCACTAAAGAAAAAAAAGATAGAGATGTCCCTTTTATGATCTACCTATAGATCATAGATTCCAAATTAAGGCTAAACATGTATTGAGAGATTCTTGTTCAAATTCATTTTTCTGAGTAGAATTTTTCTCTGTGCTACACCTTGTCATGGCTACCTAAAACAAATATTTGAGCAGAGACTACTGAAAGCCTATATTTACCCAATGTATATAAAATGCATTATATTTTCATAGAATCACAGAATGACTTGAGTTAGAAAGGCCCTTAAAGATCATACAGTTCCAACGCCACTGCCGTGGGCAGGGATGCCACCCACTAGGTCGAGTTGTCCAGGGCCTTGTTAAGCTTGGTCTTCAGGGATAGGGCATCCACAGTTTCACTGGGCAACCTGTTCCAGTGCCTCACTGCCCTCTGAGTGAAGAATTTCCTCCTATTCTCTAACCCAACCCATCCACATCCTTCTTGTCCTGGGAGCCCCAGACCTGGATGTAGGACTCCAAGTGGGGCTTCACAAGGGTGGAGTAAAGTTCTGCTTGTCATAGTTCTGCTTGAGTGGGCAGCTGAGCTCCACCACAGCCGCTCTCTCACTCCCCCTCCTCAAAGAGGAACGGGGAGAAAATACAATGAAAAGGGCTCCAAGGTTGAGATAAACTCGGCATAGGGAGACAGTAAGATTTATTGCTTATTACTAACAAGCTAGAGAAGTGAGAAACAACAGAAAGAAACCAAAAGCACCTTCCCCCCCATCCACCCTCTTCCACCTCCTCCCCCTGAGCGGCGCAGGGGAACAGGGGAATGGGGGTTATGGTCAGTCTACAGCGCTTCTTCTCTGCCGCTCCTTCTCGGTCACTCTTGTCCCTGTGCTGTGGGGTCCCACCCACAGGATGCAGTCCTTGATGAACTGATCCAGCGTGGGCTTCCCACAGGCAGCAGCTCTTCCAGAACTGCTCCAGATATGGGTCCTGTACCACAGGGGTCCATCCCTCAGGAGAAAACTGCTCCAACCTGGCTCCCCTACGGGCAGCAGCTCCTGCCAGGTCACCTGCTCCTGCATGGTCTCCTCTCCACGGGCCACAGGTCCGGCCTGGAATCTGCTCCAGCAGGGGTCTTCCACAGGTGGCAGCCTCCATCGGTGCAGGGCCACCTGCTCCACCGTGGTCTCCTCCACGGGCTGCAGCGTGGAACCCTGCTCCACCATGGTACTCCATGGGCTGCAGAGGAACATCCTGCTTCACCATGGTCCTAACCACAGGTTGCAGGGGACTTCTGCTTGGGCACCTGGAGCACCTCTTCTCCTCCTTCTTCACTGACCTTGGTGCCTGCAAGGCTGTTCCTTACTCCTCTCATTCTTCCAGCTGCTGTGTGGCACAGTGTTTTTTTTTTTCCCTGTCTTAAATATGCTCTCACAGAGGCACAAAACAACATTGCTTATTGGCTCGGCTCTGATCAGCAGTGGGGCCCTTCCCAAACATGGGGCAGCTTCTAGATCCTTCTCACAGAAACCACCCCTATGGCCCCCTGCTACCAAAACATTGCCATGTAAACCCACTACAGGGTACGATCCCCTCTCTTGACCTGCTGGCCACTCCTCTGTTGATGCAGCCCAGGATGTAGTTGACCTTCTGGGCTGCAAGTGTATACTGCTGGTTCATGTTGAGCTTTTTGTCCATTAGAACCCTCAAGTTCTTCTCTGCAGGGCTGCTCTAAATGAGTTTTCCCAGACTGTACTCGTGTCTGGGATTGCCCTCCCCAAGGCACATCACTTTGCTCTTGGACTTGTTGAACCTCACTAAGTTCATATGGGCCTACTTCTCAAGCTGCTCCATGTCCCTATTGATGGCATCCGTTCCTTCTGTTGTATCAACTGCACCACTCAGCTTGGTATCATCTACAAACTTGCTGAGGGCGCACCTGATCCCACTGCCTATGTCATTAAAGACAGATAAAGATCACAGAATCACAGAACTGTAGGGGTTGTAAGGGACCTCGAAAGATCATCAGGTCCAACCACCCTGCCAAAGCAGATTCCTCAGAGCAGGCCGCCCAGGTAGGCGTCCAGACAGGCCTTGAATATCTCCAGAGAAGGAGACTCCACAACCTCCCTAGGCAGCCTGTTCCAGTGCTCCGTCACCCTCACTGTGAAGTTCTTTTGCATGTCAGTGCGGAACTTCCTGTGCTCTAAAAAAAGATATTAAACAGTACTCCCTCAGGACAGACCACTGAGGGATACTACTTGTCATTGGCCTCCACCTGGACATAGAGCCATTGACCACACCTCTCTGGGTGTGACCTTCAAGCCAACTCCTTATCCACCGAATAGTCCACCCATCAAATCCATCTCTCTTCAATTTTGAAGATCAGTATGTTGTGTGGGACCATGTCAGAAGCCTTGCAGAAGTCCAGGTAGATGACGTTAGTCAGTCTTCCCTTGTCAACTTGCTGCAGTCATTCCATCGTAGAAGGCCACCAGACTCGGCAGGCATGATTTGCCCTTAGTGAAGCTGTGCTGGCTGTCTTGGATCACTTTGTCTTGCATGTGCCTTGACATTGCTTCCAGGAGCATCTTTTCCGTGATCTTTCTGGGCACAGAGGTGAGGCGCACTGGCCTGTAGTTCCCCAGTTCCTCCTTTCTACCCTTTTTTTAATGGGAGTGATGTAACCCTTTTTCCAGTCAGAGGGGACTTCACCTGACTGCCAGGAGTTTTCAAATTCCATGGAGAGGCTTGTCAACTACATAAGCCTGTTCCCTCAGAACCCAATTTTTCTCTGTTGTTTAAATGGTTGCAGTATGCAATTGATTCTGGTTTGTTTTGGTTGAGTGTGAGAGTAAAGAGGTAAATACCTGAAAATAGGTAGGACTTAATGTTTTGAAGTTATTTTCATATAGTGACTGAGTACTACTTATTAAAATGGAAATTGACCTTATAGAACAGCATCATGTTAACATATTAAAGGTCAAAGGTTCCAGGTCAAAGTACCTCTGGGCCATATAAAAATCTCTATTTAATTTTGTATATGGGATCACTTTATTTTATCTTTATTTTTTCAGCAGAGAAATTTTATTCTCCGTAAGTCTTTTTTTTAAGTTGTGGGTTTTATGCTTTCGTTCCTTCTTCCACTTCCTGTTTAACTTACTAAATTTATAAGCTGTTTTTTGTTTGTTTTAGGGTTACGCTGACACAAAAGATAAGCTAGGTAACTGCATCCTCACTTTGAGTGAAACGTCTTCTGACAAAGGAGAGGGTATTCTCCCTAGAACTACTAGACTACGAGCTGCTCTGCGTCTTCTTTTCTCAAAAAAGCAGTTGTGAGTAATGCCTTGTAGGATTTCAGCATGTCTTTAATGTTTGTGACAAAGATGTCTACTCAAAAAAGGAAACAAAACAATAGACTTATCTACAGTGAAAAGTAGATTGAATAAATTGTTCCCACCCACCCTCCACATTATTAATTTTATAAACTAATGTTTAACTGTAGAGCTAAAGTTTTCTAATGAGGATTTTATATAGAATCATAGAATATCCATAGAATATGACCCATAAGGATCATCAAGTCTAACTCCTGGCACCCCACAGGTCTGCCCAAAAGTTTAGACCATGTGACTAAGTGCACAGTCCAATCGCTTCTTAAATTCAGACAGGCTTGGTGCAGTGACTACGTCCGTGGGGAGCCTGTTCCAGTGTGCAACCACCCTCTCGGTGAAGAACCTCTTCCTGATGTCCAGCCTAAACTTCCCCTGCCTCAGCTTAACACCATTCCCACGGGTCCTATTATTGGTGTTTACAGAGAATAGGTCACCTGCCTCTCCACTCCCCCTTGTGAGGAAGTTGTAGACTATGATGAGGTCCCCCCTCAGCCTCCTCTTCTCCAGGATGAACAGGCCCAGTAACCTCAGCCACTCCTCATACGTCTTCCCCTCCATATTGTTTCCCTTCTAATTGTTTGTTTCTTTAGGGTTCGATCTATAGCACTTAAACATCTAGTATTCCATCTTTTGAATGAAGAAGGAGCAAGCCTGAAACGCCCAAATCTGCATGGCAGTGTGTTTTCCAGCATTTCAAACTTATTTATTATAGAAAAAGTTATTGAGCTGAAATTGGATGATAAAATGGAATCAATATTTAAGGTGAGTAAGCTCTGTCTAAATACTAATTGCTCCTCTCTTCTTTCCTGGTCACTGAAGTTTACATTTTTTTTGAAGTTTGCAGTATTTCATACAAATGGGCTTACTTCAAGTTTACACTATCAATTGCAACTGCAAATAAGAGGAGTAATCATTCATTTTTTTCATTGCAGATAAATTAACAACAAGACTTAAGTACAAAGGGTGAAGGCGTGCCCTGCTTACAGTAATTTAGTTGTACATGAGTAGAGTCTGATTTTTGTCAGATTTTTTTTCCACAAAATCCATTTTTTTTGTTGGAAAAAGCAAATATTTTTTCCAGTATGAAATATTTAAAAACATTGTGAAATGCTGTCTGTTCTCTTAGCATTGCTGCTTTTTCAAAATGAAAAACAAATCACAAGTACTTGACCTGTGTGGAAAATTTTTCTCCCTGCATTCAATCAGTTAAGCTGTTTTTTTTAACCACTTCCTTTCCATATTCTCTTCCTTCTTTACCCTCAGCATTTTCAGATTAACAATAATATGTCAAACAAGATCCTTCCCCTCTGATTAGAAATTATTCTAATTCTAATCACTCATTGTATACTTGATTTATACTCTTTCCCTAAACCCCCCAAAAAATGTGATCTGAAATCTGCATATCTGGGTTTCTGGGATGATTTTAATTCTTCTACCCTTATTGAAGGGGACTGATGGCAGAGACTTAAAAACATATTCTAGCATTTCTGTGTAGTTTTGAGAATTCTGTAGCCCTGCATAAACTGAATGTTATTTATTAGACATCCACTTCTATTGTTCATTAGGAACTACTGTATATATTTTAGGAATTAGAGATTTGTTGCAAAAAGATTAAAGCCTATTTCTTTACATGCATGCAGAATCTCATCAAATGCTTTCTAACAAAAAATATAAATCTTTATTTTGGTGGAGCCAGCCTCTTTGCAGTGGTGCCCAGTGAGATGGCAAGAGGCACTGGGCACAAATGAAAACATGAAACACAGGAGGTTCTGTTTGAACATTAGGAAACATTTTTTCACTGTGTGGTTGATGAAGCACTGGCACAGGTTTCCTAGAGAGGTTGTGGATACTCCTTCCTTGTCTGTCTTCAGAAGCCTTCTGGACACAGTCCTGAGAAACCTGCTGTAGGTTTTGAAACAGCTCAGTTGTTTCAGCAGGGAGGTTGGACCAGATGACCTTCAGAGGACCCTTCCAACCTCAACCATTCTGTGATTTTCTACTTTGTTAGGAAAAGTATCTAGTTACCTTGTTTTACGATAGCATACTGCATATGAATCTAATACAGTTTTACTTTTAGGTAGAAACTGTTGAAAAGCTTCATGACATCTTGACTTCTGATGCTGTTGACCTAGTTTTACGAAAGTCTGCAGCTGAGCAGCTAGCCATCATTTTACAAGGTAAGTTTTCAAAAAAAATGTATTTATGTGTTGACCATCATGTAAACTTGTTTTTCTAAATTTTGTGTACATTTCTGCTGAGGACGCTTCTTGTAGGTTTTATATATATATATTTATATATATATATATATATTATATATATTATAATATTATAATTATATATATATTATATTATATATATATATTATATATAATATAATCTTAGATACTGTCTTTTGTACTCTGTCTTTTTGTTTGGGGTGATGATCACTATAAAATATAAACATATCTTTAGTGTTGTTGCGTTTTAATTGGGAAGGTCAATCCTTAGATTACATAGGCTAATCAAAGGTATTTTACATGTAATGAAGAGTTTCTTCAGCATCTTAAATGTCTTCCTCTATTTTGAGGTAATCTAAGTAACTGAAATGGATTGAAATGTCATTTGTGTGAATGTTGTTCAGTAAACTCTAAGCTTCCATGTTTTTACCCTCAATCAATATCACGATGCAGACTCCCCGTGGCATTTAATCTAGTATGTTTGCAGGAGAAGCAATCCTATTATACTCTCTCTCTATGACTTCATTTAAGTGACAGATCATAAATTTGCATCGCATTTTTTGTTTTTCTTTTATAATCGTGTTGCTCACATGGGGGAAAAATGATGAAATCTGGTAAAGAAGATCTGTTTAAATTAAAAAAAAAAAAAAGTAAACCATCTTGAGTAGAGCATTATTTGGCTCAATGCAAGATCATAACCTGGGAGTTTGCTCTCTATGTGTTTTTGTTTTCTCTCAGTCTGGTGCAACTATAGGTTTTGTTCAAGGAACAAAAATCCTCATGATAGAAAATAGTTCTTTTCACCATGGAGACATGAGGTCTTAGACAATGTTAAAATTTATTTTTTTTTGTCTTGTCAGAAAAAAATATTACACAACTGAGGAAATGTCTCCTTTGAATAGTAAAAATATATCCAGTACAGCTGGCAAAGTTTTCAGATATTGAGAGAGTATGAAAAGGAGCATAAGATAAAATTATAAAGGAGAAAATGTATCTGTCTTACAACAAACTTTATATGAAAGATCACTTTATTTAAAACAAAAAAAAAAATAAGAATAAACCAATCAACCCAAATAACATGGCTTTTTTGTTGTTGTTGAATGTTCTTAAAACGGATATTCTGAACACTGAGGTAGGTGGAAAATACTTTTAGGATGAATGAGATTTTGTAAATACCATTTTTAGTGCGATATTATATTGTTGAAAACTATCCAAATACTACAAATGAAATCCTTATAGGAAATTGAGTTGCATTTGGGATCATTTTAATTGTGGGGCATAAATATCCTAAGTATTTTCCCATAAAAACTTTGAGACAGCCATCCAAGAAGCTACTGTAGTCAAATCATTGCAAATGAAGTGCAGGTTTTATGTTATTTATTTTTGCCTTGGAGAGTATTATCTGAAATTTGTGCTGTGATGACTGCTGTAGTAATGTGAGCATCTGTGCTCTTTTTCACTTGTTATTTAGACACCTGTATCTAAAAATAACTGCACAGTTCTGCACAGTTATTGTCAAGTTTTTTAGAAGGACTGGTTAATATTTATGCACTTTAGTGTTCTTTGGGATGTCTAAGCCAAAGAAAGATTGGTGACAAAACAACAGTTTGGGCAGGCTTGCCTTATAGCTGGATTTGTACTTACTAATTAACAGAAGAATTTTAGAATCTTGTTTTCAACAGCAACAGCTTATAATAATGCAGAAAGCAGTTCAGGCTTAAACTGATGTAGAAACAGTGGTTCTTAATTATCTTTTGTTTTTCTACAGATACCAAAATGCATGGCATTGTGAAAAAGCTGGGTGTGATAGAAAAGATTCTGGCTTACCTTAACGAATGTGTACATGTGGATGGCAAGGTAAAACTACTGGTTCTTCTGCAAACGTTACACAACATGACAGTAGTAATACTTGCTTTTTTGTGCTTAAAACTCTTAACTTTCTTAATATTTTTTAATGAACTTAAGTCTTGTCCATAATAATAACAGTCTCTGAATTTAAGATCTGAAGCACATTATAATTAAAAATTAGAATCGTAGAATGGTTTGGATTGGAATGGTATGGATCTTAAAGATCATCTAGTTCCAACCCCCTGCCATGGGTACCACTAGACCAGGTTGCTCAAAGCCCCATCCATCCTGACTTTGAACACTTCCATGGATGGGGCATCCACAGCTTCTCTAGGCAAGCTGTTTCACTGCCTTACCACACTCTGACTAAAGAATTTCTTCCTAACATCTAATTAAAATCTACTCTTTTTAGTTTAAAATGTTATGTTCATAGCAAGTGAAAATATATGTCAGGCTACATTTGGGGAGTAAGTAACTTTCTGACCAATAGGTCACGTAACCAGTATAGTTCTGGTAGATAAGATCACATTTATAGTTGTGTATATTTGTTGTAGAAGAGCAAGCTTTCCAATGTCATAATGCATAACATCGTAATGCATAACATCGTAATGCATAATCTGGTGCTTGAATTTTCCTGAAATTCATTATTTTTGATCACTTCATGTAAGTTTATTTAAGCTATAAGCTGCCTAGCTTATTATAATTATTATGGAATTCCTCTTACAAACAAAACAAAATCAAAAAAACTTGTGTTATCTTAGAGAAGTGGCTACAAGAATGGGATGCAGTATTTAGTAGAGGGGAAAAAGCTCAATTTAAATAAAGCTTTATATAAAGCTGTTCAATTTCTTTTCTTATATTTAATAAGCAGGGCTTTTAACTGTTGCATATTAAACAAAACTACATTTGGTGATAGAGTTTACGAAACAAAATTTAAAGGTAGAGTCTCAGACAAGCAAAGTAATGTCCTGTGAAGGACATGCTGTCTTCTCATTCTTTACCAGAAATTATTTTGGTCTATTTTTGGCTATTTACCAATAATTTGACTTCTAGAAAGCTGTGTTCTTGGATTCCCTGATATGAAATATCAGAGAATCAATCTGATGCAGTAAGCTATTTGCATTAAAAAACAAAACAACAAAAAAAGCTTATGAGTAAGTAGTTTTTTGAAATCCTTCAGCTCGTATATGTACTTCTTAAAAATACATATTTTGGAAGCAAATTTTACAGTTGTGTTACAAGACCAGAAACCAGAAAAATTACCCTCTTACCAAACAAACCAAGAAAATAAAACTAGAAATTAAATATTTTCTAATGATTTTCTTATGAATATGCAGTTACCACCCAGATAAAATTTCCTTGTATAAGGACGTTCTTTGTTTCTCTAGTACAAATAGTAGAATGTATTGGTTCATAGCATGATAATTTATATAGAGCATTCCGTAACAGATCATCCTAATCGATATTTAATTTTTTTGTTGTTGTTTTTGCAGGTAATGGAATCCATAGTGTTACCCTGTCTGACACTCTTACGGAAACTTGTGTATGCTGATCCAGTTGTTCGTTTGTCTCTAGCACAGCAATCATCTTTGTTGCTTTTGCTCTTCAGAGGTAAGGATTCTATTTTAAATTTAATACATAGGTTGATAGAAAATATGTGATATATGATTAGATGTTTAACCAAAAGCCTTCTTAAGAACTGTGGCTAGTTTCCAAGTCCCTAATATTTTAAAGAAATCACTGTTTGCTAGTGTTAGTCATGTTGTGGCATCTGTTGAAGATGTTAGCAAAACGGTTGTGGAAAAAAGTTGGTTTTAGCTGCTGTCCTTTGATGTATTATTAAATGTCAGTATTTTCCTAACAAATTTTAAAAATGTCTTTGTTTCATTCAGTTTCCCTGATATTCCAAAATGATCAAGCTGTTTTAATGGAAACTACAGTATTGCTTTGTCTTCTGTTGTTTGACGAAGTAGCAAGAGCAGACACGTGGTATGAAACAACAATTATTTATTTGCATTATCTCTAAACAAGTTTTTCCTGAAAATCAGTTATATATGTATATATTCAAATTAATTATCCCCCAAATTGATGTGTTGCCTATTTGTAGGTGAAGAAAATTGTTTGTATTTGTAATTCAAACAAATTGTTTGGGTTGCCTGTCATGTAGACCTACCTGGCATGTTTTTGTTGCTTAAGTACATTGTACTTCTGTACTTACATTTATTTTCTTTTTCAGAAACACCTGATCGTTCTCTAATCCATGTTTTCCAAAAACGGAAGCTATGCTAATCAAATAGCTAGCTATTGTTGTGGTGTTTTTGTTAACTTAGTTAGATTTGTATTTATTTTGACTTGGTAGTGGTTGTCCTTAAACCAGAAGACTTCAGCTTACAATATTTTATTATTTGAAATGTGTGTGTACTTCAGGAATAAAAATGTTCTTAGAATTCACATGTGAAATATACTGAAAAGAACTCTCATGCAGATTTTTGTATGTGTGTGAACTAAGAACTGTTTTTCTTCATGATTATGCAGTATTAACAATGTTTGTTAATACAAATGTATTCAGTGATGAGTTCTTAGCTACTTGTAGGAAAAAGCAGCTATATATGAATAATAAATAAGTGCAGCATTCGTAGTAAATCAAAGTTAAAAATCAAGAGGAATAGCTTAATCTCTTTCTTGCAGGGCTAATGGCATAACCAGTAATGGTACTGGTCTACCTGCCTTCAGTTTGCCTGTTGCTGTTGTTAGACGGTACGTGTTGGCTGTTTCTTTTGCATTATTTTACTTTTTCTTTGTGTGGATTTTTTGTTTTGTTTCTTTACAGCCAACTTCAGTCCTTTCCGTTTGCTGTCCTCCCTAAAGGATAGAGATGGGAGAGCAAAGGGAAACATTAAATGTTAAATCCAAAGTTGTCTGCACTTTTAATTGTTAAATGTGGAGTTTTTTCTCCCAGCCTTTTATTCTATAATAAAGTTTTAAGAACTTTTATTTATAAAATTTAAAAGCTTGCTTAAATAGAGCATTTAGTAGTTGTTTGTATGTTTAATTGTTTGTTTACTCATTTATTTTAAGATATCATCTCCCAGTCAAAATCACTGCTCATCATGCAGTTAGCCCTAATTGTGTTGTGGTGCCGTTGTCTTCTGAGTGCTTGGCTATGAAACCTGTGTCAGATATGCTAAAGATGGCTTGGAATCTGTCGTGGTACCATGGGGTTGAGAACCTATTGCAACTGACAAACTATGAGAAGCAAGCAGAAACGTGAGCTATTCTATCTTGATTCTAAATCCTAATATATTTCAATTATCTTACTGTTCCTTCAAGTTTAAATGAATTTCCAAATTGAAACAGCAGTTCAAGCTGCTTATGGTTTGAGAATGCTATCTTCTAAATGTAAATGATCACATCCCAGGAGGTTGTAGATGTTGTCATAGCTAATGTTTTACCTAAATTGTATTTAAGCAAGGAATTTAGAGCTTTATCCAACTTTTACTGGGGGTTGGACTCCTTTCACACAATTTTAAACAATAAGACACTTAAATTTTGCACCAACATGTGAGAGAACTTCTTCACAGTGAGGGTGACAGAGCACTGGAACAGGCTGCCCAGGAAGGGCGTGGAGTTGCCTTCTCTGGAGATATTCAAGGCCCATCTGAATGCCTACCTGGGCAACCCTGCTCAAAGGAACCTGCTTTGGCAGGGGGTTGGACCTGTTGATCTCTCAAGGTCCCTTCCAATCCCTACAATTCCATGATTCTGTGAAATTCTTCTATTTTTTCATTATGCTTTTTTTGTTTTTAAGGAGCTGTCTTTTATCCCCCCCCCCCCCCTTCATCACCTCATCACCTGCATGACCTGTATTTTCTTCTCTCTTTCTTGGCAAATTTAAATTTTAAATAATTATTCCTTTTAATGGTAATAATACCTGAGAATCATCATAGATAGTCAAGAAAACTCTTTACATCCTTTAGTTAGCTCTTGGTTAGCATGGTTTCTCTTTGAGAGTGTTTCGTACACAGTCTTAAAATGTGATTGATTTAATAGGACTGAAATACTTGTTTCTATGTTTCTGTGCATCTTGACAATATTTAATTTTTTGCTTCTGTCCTTTAAGGGGTCCTACAATTTTTATGAGTAAATAGAATGGTTCTGAGCCAGAGGTAACTTTACAGTCATTGGTTTGATAAACTAATTTTATTTTAAATTGCCTTAATCAAAACCATAGCAATTTCTTAAAAAGATGATGGTATAGTCCAAAAAGCCAATATCTACAATACTGTGGAGGAAGAGTTCATTACAAACCTTGTAAATAGCACTTTTCAAATAACTTTTTGAGAGGTGCCCTCTTACCAAAGAACCTAAAGAACTGAGGATTTGAATGTAGTGGGGTGGTTTGTTGTTGATAATATGTGGTTGTGGGTTTTTTAACTTCCCTTTTTTTTTTTTTTTTGGGCAAAAAAGAAAGGGGAAGGGATTGGTTAACAAAAATACATTTTTTAAGGCATTTGAGAGTTTTGTCTTCTCATCTGAACTGGAAAGTGAAGGAGTCAGCACTCACTGAAATAATTTATAAAGATACTAGCTGTTAATCATTTTTCTCTTATGCCTTTTCAGATTTTTAGACATGCTAAAACTCTCCTCAGAAGACCTACTTTTATTGAAAATAACTCACACAACCTATGGACTGCAGGACTGTCTTAATTCAATCATTCAGGCAGTATCCCACAGAGATGTAAGGGCTGCACTCACTAGGCTGAGTTTTTATGTTCTGAATGACAGACTTGCTTTAAAATGCATCTCTGGGTCTTGTCGAAACACTTTGAAGAGCTTTGTTTGGCAAAAAGCAATAAATAGGTAAGCATACTGACTACAAAAATGAATTAAGGGTAAGATTTTTAAACTGTAAATTTCATAGTTTTCGTATCTTCAACTTAATAGAATTGATTTTTTTTTATTCTGATTGTGCATGTAGTCAATCAGAATGGTCTCATGGAAAAATATTGTGTGATCCTATAATTGAATTCAGTTTCTTTGTACTTCCAAAAGCTGATAGAAGGGACTAAGCACAGATTAAACAGGTAATAATGTTGACTTAGGTTGTATGTTGTTTTAATTACTTTTTTAAATTTCTGATTTTCTGAGTGTTTGGTTTGTGCATGGCTTTTCTTTGTTTTAGGAGTAAAGTAAAACTACTCGTAAAATGCGTTATCTATGTGTTTGCAAATAGATCTTTAACAGCACAGAAAGAGAGATTTGAAAGCAAGCATGACTTTGTTCTGGCTGCACCAAACATAGCTGGAAGGCATGTGAGTGTCATGCTGAGTCTGAATATAATCTGAATATAATCTGCATCTCAGCAAGGGTTATTCATTGCACTGCAGTTTTCCACTAGTTCTCACCCTGCAGCTCAGGTTAGAGCTCTTGTGATTCAAAGCATAAGTCCACTTAGTTCTAATTGGCATTAGGAAGTGTTGCCTGAACTACAGCACAAATTCTGTTTACTGTTCTGTGGGGCTTTTTGAAAATGACTGGATTGGTATATGAGAGGAAAGCAGTGGAGATGTTCTGCCTTGATTTCAGTAGGTTTTCTGACACCATTTCCAATAAGATTCTCATAGACAAGCTGATGAGGTATTGGCTAGATGGATAAAACTGATTGAAAACTGGCTGAACAGCTGGGCCTGGAGGGTGGTGATCAGTGGCATGAAGTGTAGTTGGAGGCCTGTAATTGGTAGTGAATTGCAGTAGTCAATAATGGGTCCAGTCCTGTTCAATATATTCATTAATCATCTGAAGGATGGGGCAGAGTGTATCTTCAGCTTTTTTTTAATGTTATAAAACTTGGAGGAGTGGCTGGTATGCCAGAGGGGTCATGCTGCCATCTAGGAGGACCTCGACAGGCTGGAGAAATAAGCTGACAGGAACCTTGTGAAGGAGATGTGCAAAGTCTTCCACCCAGGGAGGAACAAACCCACGCACTTGTATATGCTGGGTGCTTACAAGCTGGGAAGCAGCTCTGCAGAAAACGCTCTTGGGGGTCCTGGTAGACACTAAGTTGAACATGAGCCAAGAGCGCTCCCTAGTGGCAAAGAAAGCTAGTTGTATCCTGGACTGCATTAGAATGAGTGTTGCCAGTCAAGGTAGGTGATTCTTCCCTACCTTACTTGTAGGGAACTTGATGAAACCTTACTTGTAGTACTGTGCTTCTGGGCACCCCAGTACAAGAAAGACATGGGCATACTTGAAGGAGCCCAATGAAGGGGCAATAAGGTGAAAAAGGGAATGGAGCATCTCTTGTGAAGAAATGCTCAGAGAGCTGGGACTGTTTAGCCTAGAGAAGAGGGGAGTATGGGAAGGATCTCATCGATGTGTATAAATACTTAAAGGAGGTTGCACAAAAGATGCAGCCAGCCTCTTCTCAGTGTTGCCCAGTGAGAGGACAAGAGGAAATGCTCACAAATTGAAACACAGGAGGTTCTGTTTAAACACAAGGAAACACTTTTTGACTGTGTGGGTGATGGAGCACTTGCACAGGTTGTTCAGGGAGGTTGTGGAATCTCCTTTCTTGGCTGTCTTCAAAAGCCGCCTTAACAGGTCGCCCAGGACCATGTACTTGGTGTCTACACTTGAGCTAGATGTTCTGGTGTCTACACTTGAGTCACTTGGACCAGATGACCTCCAGAGGCCCCTTCTAACCCTTAGCAGTTCTGTGATTTTTGTAATTGATGTATGCAAAAATAGCAAAACATAAGAACACAGTATTTATAATAAGGATACTTTTTTTCTCCTTCCTTTGACTCTGTTCAGATTTTTCTTTGTTTTCCCATATGTAATTCTATGTCTACATACGTTCGTGTTGACATTTAGCAGTAGTAATTGTCTATAATAATACCTAATACGTGTATATATACTATATGATGTACTGCATATTATATGTAACATATAATAATATATGAGTATGATTTGTTAAATATATTTGACATTTTTTGTGAGACGTATATATAGTACAGGCGCTTTAACTGATAAAAATCTATATTTACTATATGTAAATATGTCATATTTATATTTACTGTAGGTAGTTCCACATTTGTTATAGCCAACTGCATATTTCCAAGTTAACCCAGCCCTGTTAGGCTGAGATATTAAACTGTCTTAATTCCCTACAAGTACAAAGGTATATATCTTGGTTTTCATTGCAGGTTTCTGCAAGTGCTTCCAGCTTCTGCTGAGGATGAAAAGCTTTTGGTAGATGTCCTAAGATTTTTAAACAAATTGTGTAGAGAGCAGAGAGCAAGCTTGGAGGTAGACCATCTAAAGTGGATCATGAAGTCATTGCTTAAAAACGTAAGAAGATACCTAGAGTACATTCAGCTGTAGACTGTACAAGATGATATAACTCTGAACTGGTTGGTTGGTTTGCTTGTGGTGAGCTGCTCAAGGAAAAAAACTTTTCTCAACAAAGCCAAGAAATAGCCAGATCTTGTAGTATTACTGTGCTACTTTATCTGTCCTACATTTTTAAGTGTTTGGAAAAGTTGGCTTTGAGCAAGAGTAAATTCCTTCTCTCCTTTACTTGTTATATGATTTTCTTTCTTTAAATTCTAATATTATATTTGTCAGATGTAAACAACATTTATGTGTGTGTTTGTCTTGCTCTGGTGTAGGTAACTGTAGTAAAATATTTAGAGCCTTATTAATGTTAATATATATGTGAAATGTTAATAGTTATCTATCCATAAGCTTTATGCATAGCTCTTCATGTACATATGTGTACTTATATACATTTATATCGTTAGTTAAATATTTGTACGTATACATGTACATACCCATATAGCTGAACGTGTATAACTGTGGTATGGTTAACTACATTAACTATGTATATTGTATTATCTATATAACTTAAAGGATGAGGTTCCGTATTAGAACCTTCTGCATGACAAAGATATAAATGAACATTATCTGTCGTGAATTAAGAACAAGAATTGAAATAAGACAGGAGTTCTTGTTTTCAGAGTCTGTCAATTTAGTTTTGATTTTAAATGGTTGTAATATGTTTAAGTAAAATATTTGTATAATCCTGAGGAAGTTAAATTTATTTTTATATTTATATAGGCTAGTGTATATATATAAAGGCAAGTATAATATTGAAATAATTTTTTTTCCTTTCAGGTTTTTGACTTGTGTGCTTTAGGTTTGAGATGTCTAATGTTGTTCTTTTAAGATGTGTAAAACTGAAAAGTATAAAATAGGACATTAAGATAGCAATATAAAACAATTTTTATTATATTTGTCAAAACATAATTCAATCTTGCTGTGTAAAAACAATAGTTAGATGCCAAGGATAAAAGTAGTGACTGCAGTTGTTTAAGTTTTTGTTGTGAAGAACAGTATTTTACAAAGGAAGGGCATAGTGTCCTCAAAGTGAGATCACTCAAAGTGAGATCACATGGTCTTACATATCACATGTTAAGAAAAGTACTGTCTCTGTGCTTTTGCCTTTTCTCCTTTTAAAATACTGTTCTAAACATTAAGAACAAAATACTAGTAATCCTCTTTCCATTATGTATAGAATTGATGTACTTTAATGTATATGATTAACTGGGAAACCTATAAAATTAACCAAATCTGGCTAATTAATAACAGGAGATTTTAAAGGCTTTAACTGTGGATTATTTTATGATATTTAGTAGATTCAAATGACTGGTTATTATAGGAAAACTTTACTTTTTTCTTTTTTTTTTTTTTAAACAGAAATAATTCTTATTAAAATAATTGTGGAATTTATGATTTATAATATGTGTGATTTAAAAGCACTGAATAAAAAATGGCTTGTGTGTGTGTGTTAAAATAGAATTTAAACAACGCATTATGTGACTGTATTTTATTACTTTCTTTTAGAAGCCAAATTCCCTTTTGGGCCTTCTTGTGCGACCAGAATCCCAAGAGCAGGATGAAATAGATGAAATACAGACTGCTGTCAGGCAGCAACTTGATAAAGAACTCATTCGTCTTTTTAACTCATTGTTATTTTGCTCAATGTCGGTGACTGACAGGTAGAGTTTAATTCTGTTTAATTCTGGCTGGGAATCATAATGCGTGGTGCTACTGTATCTCAGTGAGAGTTGGAATGTAATTATACCATGGTACAGTCATGGTAAATCTGAAAAATGGAGTAGTATACTCCTCTTGAAGTAAAGATTGGCATTAGCTAGGCGCTTTCACATTAAAATTAGGTAATTAAGAAACTTGGTAGGCTATGCACTAGTGTACTAGGGTATGCAGTTTTTCAACAAATAATAAATTGATGGTATTGAGAAGATGAGCTATTTCTCTTTCACTACTGGAAATTTGCACGAGCTAATGATAATTTGGTTGATTTTGTAGTAGTTATTAATAGGAAAGTAAAACACTGGAATATTAACAAATAATTATTTTCACCCAACTCATTTTTGCCCTAGAGTATATCAGAGTATATCAGATCACATTAGTCAGCTTCTCCCAGCATGAAGTTCCAACCTTTTTCTGTTAGTCAAACAAAGACAGAAATTAATTTATATTACTTTATCTCTGAGTTTATAAAATATTTCCCACGGTAAACCTCTCTATCCAAGTGCATGCGATGAGATGCTAAAATTGCAACATAATATTTGTTTAGCTAAGTACAACAAAATAACTGTTTGTAAAGATACTTTTAGAATGTTATCTTTTTCATTCTTCCCAGTTACTCTTAAAAGAAAAAATAATATATATTCATAAAATAATTGACAGCTGGAAAAATGATTATAGAAATCCCTTCCAGTTTTGTCTTGTACTTGCAGGAAATATTTTAAAATTTGTCTCTTGAACCAGAATGAGCATAGCTATTAAGCTTTGTGACTCTGCTGAGAGACTCTTTTGAAAACCTCTTGCTCTTTTGTACGTTCATTAGTAATTAGAGTTCTATTTCACTTGTCCTTTTTTTTTTTTGTTAAGCTGTCCTGTTATAAGCAGTTACAATATTAATTTAAGTCCATGTTATTTTCCTCATTAGCCAGTAGTAACTAACTGAGATGCTGAGACTCACAGACTAACAGCAATTAGAATGATGCATCAGCCTCTTGTAAAAACAATTTATTATAATAGCTTCATGCTGACAGTTGATACATTTTTTTTTTTTTTCTTTTTACAATTAATCCAGAGAGGGCTTGGAACTTGCTGGCTCTTTCAGAACTGAGCTGGCTCTGAAGCTGCTACAATGCTTACGGCTAACAGATGCACCACATTTTTATGGACTTCCCTTACTGGAGAGAACATTGCAAGGAATGGTTCATGTTACTGCACTGCCAGACTGGAGTGCATATTCTGCTACAGTTGAACCTGTCACAATTTGTAAGAAATATTTAACAGGTCTTCTTGAGGTAAGTAGGTTATGTTATAATCTAACTTTTTATCTGAGTACTTGTAAAACACTGTGTGACTAATTACATCATAATTTTTATATGGTACTTCTAGTGAATATCATTGTTCTGAAAGGTACTTTTCTTTCTCATAAGTAAATAGCTAAAAATGTAGATCATGTTGAGCAATGCGTACTTTAAAAATAAATAAATAGAAATTGTTATCTTACAATGGTTAGTTATATTCCTTGTGCCTTCATCTCCTGCTTAAGTTACTGACAAGAAAGCTCAAATGGGTGTTGTTTTTTTAATAACTAAAACACTAAGAGTGAAATCCAAGATATGTTCCCGCAAGCAAAATCCATGTGTGAAAGAGCATGAAGGGTAACAGTAGTAGCTCTTAAGCTACTTTGTTTTATGTTTTTATTTATATATTTTTTGCTATATAGTTTGGTTTTTAGTTGCCTCTTCAATAAGCTTCAGATGTTTAACTATATAAGAAATCAAAGTATGACTAAGTGATTTAAATATATTTTTAAAATCTAGCTGAAAGCGTATATTTGATAATGTTTGCCATCTTTCTGTAAGTTTCTGTTTTAGTTTTGTACGAGTTTGTACTCTACCTGTATGCTGTTTACCATGAACTTTATCCCATACTACCAGGTCATCTCATCGTTTTATGTTGAATGGGGAGGAAATGCTATGTCCTTCATGGGAAAAGGTGTTACAAAAAGCACAGTTCTTTGCTTGCTTCACTTATCTCATGAAATGATGGCTCAAGCCAAGGATATGGTGAGTGGTGCACAGATATGGTGCAAGGATATGGTGAGGCTATGCACAGATATATTGTAAGAAAGTATTAAGTACATTGCAGAAAGACTGCTACCTCTGACGAATTAAATCATAAGTGCATGGATGAAAGACTGGATGTGATCCTTATTTATTCATTTATTTCTGTCATACATAAAATAATATGTATAGTAACGTACTGAACAATGACATTTTTGTGGCTATAAGTCATAATCTGTGTCTACAACAGCGTTAATGTCTATACTGCTGATAACTTCTGTTCTTAAAGTTTTAAATCATATCCATGGTTTGCAATCATGTGATTTAGTGTCAGATCTTAAGGAGAAAGGTATGCAAAGTTAGCTGCCTTCCTTTATGCAATCAGTGTTATACAAGAAACGTCCTGGATAACTGATTTTTTTAAAAGTTTTTAATACCAACTTAAAACGTACAGTGTAGTGACTTGAAATAAAAAGTAGTCAAAATCCAGTTGTTTTTCAAATTTTATTTTGCTCACTAGCGGCATTATGAACCATTGTGGTCCTTCATTATTTACAGAACTACCTTGTAAAGTTGAGCGTAAGATCCTTTAGTTCATACTGATGGACAGAAATGACTATCAGGTGTTTGTAGAAGTACTGAGAAACAGACCATGTACTTAGTATGCAATATTTTGTTTCCTTAGCTGTTTTGTTACTGCTTTATGATCATACTTTGCTGACCTTGCCTATGTTTTGTATTTCACTTTGTATTTTAATGCCCCACCCCTTCTGAATTCAGGTATTGTAAGATACTATGCTTACTGTTGTTAATACTGTATGTATTGAAGATCCTTGTAAAATACACTGCTCTAAGAGAAGCATCCAATGCTGTCATCTACTGTATAAAAATATACAGGTCTGAGATGGCAAGAAGATACATCTATAAAATTTTAGGTATCGTGGTTCATTATGAACTTAAATGTGCAATTTTATGGCTAAACAAAGCACTTTGCTGGTCTGGATTTTTTGATCTGAAGTAAGAACTGAGTTTGCAAAGTCAAGTATGATTTCATGGAATCTGCAGCTACGTAAAACATGTACATGGTAGTCTGCGTAACTTTATTTAGCTGTACGGCAAGTGCTCAAAGGAAAAGAATAAATTATGATCAAAGAAATAATTGCATGTTCTTATTTGGCAATTTCCTGGACACCTATGATAATAAAAAAAAATGTTTATAATGAGCAAAAATAAAAAATGTAAGGAGTAATACATGTAAAATTCAAGTGAAATATTTATTCTGTCTTTAACACTGCTATCTTAATCCTATGAAGAAGTAGGATTTAATTTTATTCAATAGGTGAAGTCAACAAGTTACATGCATATTTATAGAGGCAGAATCAAAATCTTTTTCCTGGAATATCAGTGTTGTGTGCATTTAAAGTGGTTTAGTATGCAGTTGATAACTTAGTCTCAGACTGGCATAGCGTTAAAAGATTTATAAAATAATTCCATACTTTCTCTGTTTTCTGATCAGGACTGGATATCCCTTTGGTCTTTGCCTTACGATAACAGTGAAGACCAACTTCCTTCTCACCTAGGTCTGGCATGGCTGGTTCCTTTATGGGTAGATAGAGACCCTGAGGTTAGTTAATGTAATGTTGATACCTTATTTTGACACCTAAGTATTTACAACTTTTTTGGTTGATTAATTTATTCAATATTGAAAGTACTGTTTTGTATGATTTTAAATGTTACTAGCTATATTCTAAATAACAATAGCAATAAAGTAGAGGCAGTATTTTCATATGAACATTTTCTGTGAAATCCTTCGCTTTATCTTCAGTCTTCTGTCCTCTCATTAAGTCACTCGTGATAATAATTCATAAGCAGTTTTCATCAATGTTGCTTATGTTTAGCTCCAAAACAGAAGTAGGTATCTGGACTATAAGTTTAGAGCAATTGTATTTGATGCAAATCTGTTAATTATGATTTTTTTATCAGAACTACTTTTAAATGGTTTAATGTTAAGATTATTGAATATTTATTTGTGGATACGTTTGACTATTCAGAAATAAATTTTATTAGTTTTATCATTTGTATGTACATGTGGTTGTGATTATGAGTATAGGGCAAGATCAGTACAGGACAATAATTTACTACTTTTTAGACAATTCCTTCTAAGCTAGAGATTCAGTTGATACAATAATAATTTAAAAGACGTGTTTAATAAGTGTTTTAAGAGTACGTGTTTACTGTAAGAAATGTCACTTTTATATTTTACTTATATGTACTAGGTCAGATTCACAGCACTTGGAATAGGATCAGCTCTTACATCTCTTGAAGCAGGATGTATTGCTTTAGCAGAAAGTTGCCAGAACATTTCAGGAGGGCTATGGGGAACAGTGATAAACATCCTTCTGGACCAATCTGAATGTAGCATGGTACGCAGGGAGGTATGTTTCTTCTGTCTTTTTTTTTTTTTTTTTTTCCAACATGAACATGGAAAATTTTTGTTCTCATATATGTTTAAAGTGATGGAATAATATAGAGACTGTGCTGTTCAATCTGACATGTTTTATTGAACTCTGATGACTAGACTGCAGTATTGATGATTTAATTTCTTTTAGGCTGCTTTTATTCTACAAAATCTTCTTGTGATTCCAATTCCTACTGAAGAAGTGAAAGATTGTGTTTGGCAAGTGAGTAACTACTGATGAGAAAGTTCATACTTTCACAGAGATGAATTATTTGTCATAAAAACTTAATGCACTATATCTGTATTTAATGTCTGAGGTGACGTTTTGGAAAGAAATACATGAGTAGACAAACTTCCAACTTCCAGCAAGTTGAAGAAAGTTAGATTGTTTAGTATCTTAGATCATGTATGTACCATATCTTATATAATGTCTTTAATCTCCTAGGAAACTTACTTGCTTACATAGTGTCATTAATGTTTTAAAATAGAAATTGGTCTCTTTTTTTCTGCCCACACTCAGAATGCAACATGATTTGAGGTGTGTGAAGAAGAAATTCTGAAAATGTAGTGTTTATAAAATGTCCTGAAAGAAATATGAGTGGCAAGAAACAATGTCCTAAAGAAAGATGAAGTAGCGAGCAGCTTGCTGTAATTTAATCTAAGAACATACTCCCTTGCTGAAAGTAGGATGAGCTACAGCTCAGGGCTGTGTCCAGTAGGGTTGCAAATATTTTTGAACACTCGATGATCCTTGTGGGTCCCTTCCAGCTCGGTATATTCTATGATAGAATTCATATGGAAAGGAATTACAGAATTCATAATCAATTCATAGTTGGAAGGGACCCACAAGGATCATCAAGGCCAACTCCTGTCTTCACACAGGACCACCCAAAGGTCAAACCAGATGTATGAGAGTGTTGTCCAAATGCTTCTTGAACTCCAGCAATCATGCTGCTATGACCACTTCACTGGGGAGCCTGTTCCAATGCCCAACCACCCTTTGAGCAAACAATCTTTTCCTAATATCTGACATGGACCTCTGCTTCATGACCTATTCAGGTCCTATTGCTGACCACCAATAGAAGAGATCAGAAAGCTGTAGGTTGCCATTTAAGCCTCCCCTCTGTCTCCTCTTTTGCAGGCTGAACAAACAGTGATCCTCCTCATCTTCCCCTCTATTCCCCTCATCTTCACCATCTTTGTAGCCTTCCTTTGGACACCCCTGTAATAGTTTTATGGTCCTAATAGTTCTTATAGTCTAACAGTTTTATGGCCTTGTTGTATTGTGCTGCCCAAAACTACACAGTACTCGAGGTGAGGCTGCACCAGCACAGAGCAGAGTAGTGATGATCACTTCCCTGAACTGGCTAGCAATGCTGTGCTTGATGCACCCCCAGGATATGGTTGGCCTTTTGGCTGCCAGGGCACACTTGACTTACGTTCAACTTGCTGTCAGCCAGAACTCCCAGATTAATTTCCGTGGGGCTGCTCTCCAACTTCTTGTTCCCCAGCCATCTTTTCTTTACATCTGATTATAAAGTAATAATGTTCAAGTAGCCTGTAATCTCTGGCTTGTTTCAGTCTTTGGTTACTTAAAAATTAATATTGTACCAATATAAATAATAATTATTTAGTAGCAGGGGATTTGCAAGGTGCAGCTATTATAACTTGTCAATATAAACTGAATTAAGAGTTGCTTTTTATTCTTTTTTAATATTTCAATGACTATGGTGAGGTGACAGATTGAATCCAGTTGCAGAATTCTGGATGAGTGCCAGTGCAATTAATGTGAGTGTTGAGTAAATTCTTGTTAAGTGCAGTTTAATGGAAATTGCTCATCTCTTAATAAGTGTTCATGCTGAAAGATATTATCAAACAACACTTTATGGTAACTGGTAAATTAAAAGTGTTGAAAATATAAACAGCAATTAAAGTTGTAAGATACCACCAAGATCAAATTCTGTAGTTCAGTTGCTTTTTTCGTCACACTGGATAATTTGCCTGTAGACCTTAATGCAAGTAAGTTCAAAGGAGACCAATTAAGTGGATCTGGGTGAATAGTAGCTATAATGTACCATAGCCCAAGTAGAACATTATTATTAAGGGATGAAAATCCCTTAGGCAAATAGTGTTGGAAAAGGAAAGGCTGTTGCTGGAGCTTGTAGGCCAGTATCTTCACATGAATGTCTATAGTGTTGCTGTTACTTGGTTGTTTTGTTTTGTAATAGTTTGTTTTGCTATGTTACTTTAATGAGTGGCCACAGGAGACAATTTGTAATGAGTCAAGTCAACCTGTATAAAGTATTCTAAGACTGCAATGTACTACATTTTCTGAAGATTGTTTAAGTCAGACCACATTGTGAAAATAGCTGATGACACTTTCAGTATACCTATAGTGCAATAAAGTGAATGGTATAGGTTTTTAAACTGGTAAAAGCAGTTACGGCTAGTAAGATTTTGACTAAATTTAACAGAATTTCCAGAGAATGCATTTGTCATTTTTGATACAGTCCAAGTATATTGCTGATAGTGAATGACTACAGTTTTATAATTCGTTTTGAGCAATTTGTGTAATTTGAATTAACACTTTCTTCTTCAAACTATTTGTCATATATAATTCTTCTTTAACTAGCATAAAAGGCAAATAGTGAAATAGTCTGTTTATATAGAATCAGAGAAAAGAGTTAGTAACCATTCAGAGCTCTGGCTATAACTTACCCTGTCATACTCAGTGGAAATGGAGGGATTGAGGGTAAATAGTCTCTTTCAAATGACTTATTTGTTGTTTATGTACCTCTGCTATCTGCTGACTACAAAGGAAAGTTTCTAACTAGCATTGGCCGCTTATTTTTCTGATAATTTTAACAAGTTTCTTAATTGAAGTTCCGCAAGATCCTTTCTAAAACTTGCAGACTGTAATTTTTTTTTTCTCACTTTGAATTGTTTTGCCAATTAACATTTCTAATTTTATGGTCATTCTAAAACAGGTGATAGCTTAATAGGGATTTTTTGTTTTCTTCTATTACTGTAGAAAACACTGGAAAAATACTGTAATATACACAGGCAAATCAAACTGTTGATGTGGAAAACAAACAGCTAAGGTATTTCTTTCTAGGTATAACCTCAGTTCTCTAAAATGTTTTCCCTTGAGTCAATATTTAAAAATGTCTGAAAGAAATTCTCTTAGAAGAATGTTTTTCTTTTTTAAAAAATTTTCTAAATAAATCTTTTATCATAGTAGATTGACATGGGTAGATAGTAAAAGGCAATATACTTATAAGTAGAATTAAATGAGAAATTAGAGTCGTAAAGTTTTAAATCCCACATGTTACAGCTTTCCATGGCTTTCTACTTAGATGTTACAAATTTATCAGGAGTTAAATAACAACTTCCATTTTACTAAATCGTTACTGTTTTTGTAAAACTTTGATTTAGTCTTAATAAAATCTAAATCTGACTTCTAGAATCTTAGTCTGTAAAACAGCTATGTATATACGCACATAAACTGTATTAGGCTTGGAGTTTCGTTTTGTTCATTTTTGACAGTTTTCTTTAAAGGAATCTTTTACATAAAATAATTATCTTTTTGAATTTCATGTCTTCAGGGCCCCTGTGTACATGATGAAGAATCTGGCCTCTCCCAGACAGGAAAACCGGCACTTAATGCTCTTTTGTATCACTGTCAATTTTACGAACATTTGAATCAGATGGTGAAACACTGTTACCTAGGTTGTTATATGTTTGATTTAAATTCTTCCAGGGAGGACAACCACATTATTGAAAAAAGTGGTATAACTGGTAAGTTATGCTAATCTAATTTTGTATTTTTAACCTACTGAAGTAACGTGTAGTTTAGAGTAACTTACCTCAAGTAAATATTATTAAAAATGAAGATCAAATTGAATATGTAAGCCATGAATTTAAATGTTTTCAAGTTCAGTATAGCTCTAAATATCTAAGAGTAAGTAATTTGGCATATATCAGAAAAAGCTCTGAACTGTTACATCTTCAAAAAATTATAAATGGAAAAGGTGTAATTGTTTCTACAGCAACTTGAATTGAAATGCTGGGATTAATATACTTTTTACACTTGTGACTTTAACAGACAAGTATGGTGAAAGTTTAGGAAAAATAAATGCATACAGTTTTAGAAACAGTCTGCATTTCCTACTTCTGTGTCTTAATGTGTGTATTTTTTAAAGCTTCAAAGATGCATGACTAGGAGTGGCTTCCAAAATGCTGAAGTTATCAGTGTTCTAAGACATTCAGATATAATTTAGTTCAGAGATTGATCAAATATTCAGACTGGTTGGTTAGATTTTTTTTTTAACCTGCATACCTATTGAAATACAAGAGATCTAAGTCCTATATTGACTAATCATTTTCTAAGTCTCTTTCTGTGATACATGGTGGAACCCACACTCTTGTCCAGATATGTATTATTATCTTAAGTTTAGAAAGTTAGGAAATTGTTGAGAAAGCTCAGCTAGTGAAAACTGTTTGAAGGGTGGAAAATTAATAGGATCATTATTTTGTTTTTTTCTTTTTTATGTATCTAAGATTCTGTTTGCATCTTTTAAGGTTACAATTTGAGCAATTCTTGTAGGTTTTGCATCTTTGCAGCTTACGTAAGCACGAACAGAAGAGGAATGCTATTTTCCCTAATAAGTTACAACTTTATGACAGACGCACAGAAAAGGAAATAGAATTTCTATGCTTGTGGTTAACCTACTCAGTTACTAGAGATGTACCTCAGCAATATACAAAATTCTAGTCATAAAAGCACTTTATTTTTTAATTTCTTCTGTGGCTTTCTTTGTCTCTGTGCTTCACCCCCTTCCCTGTGGCTCTCTCTCGCTCTCTTTGTCTCTCCCCCTGTTTTTCTTTTCCTTTTCCTTTTCCCTTATGCTGCACTCTCCCTTCTGTCTTTCCCTGCGGCACTTTCTTCCCCACTCCATGTCTCCCCCACCTCATGTCTCTCTCTCACCTTCCTTCCTGTCCCTCTTTCTTTTTTTCCTGTGTTGTTTTTTTCCTTTTTCTCCTGTTTGGGGGGGGGGAGGAGGAGGGAAGGGGACAGTCATAAATGTCCTTTGCTTTTCTTCTTATGTCCAATACATTGTAGTCCTCCATTGTTCCAATCGTTTGGGCCAATTGCTTTTTCCATCAATTAACTGATGCAATATCATATCTAAGATCAACTCATTCTCCAGGACTGTAGACCATTTCAGTGAGCATTTGAGATTTTTTATGGTTTTTGAAGAGTAAAGCCAACAGAATGCTGTTCTGGTAGCTTTGAAGTAGGGAGGAAGAATCTCCTGTCTTTTATCTATGAGATTTCAGGAACAGGAAACATAAGCTTTATTTGAAAAAGAAAGGGAGGACAGGACAATGTTTGCTCTGTCTCTATAATAATAGTGCTTGAAAGGGTTGTAAGTCCTCCATTCATACCTGCACAATTATGTTCATCTACAATGACCTGCTGCTGCTTTATATTAGGTCCATTGTCATTTTTAATAGAAGATCTCCCTTTGGTTTATCTTCCTGAAACTGTTTTTGTAGGTCATCTTCGTGATGTATTTCCTTCACATTATTCAGCAACTTAAAAAACCTCATCGATAAAGTTAAAATAATTATCTCAGCTTAGTGATTGGCTAAGATATTTATAGGACTTCCACATTTATGATTTGAGGATTTAGAATCTGTGTAGTCTAGTGCCATACTTTTTGACTTACTTATTTTTTCTACATATGAAAAACTGAAAGCCTATTATTAACAGATTTGAGCTCTAAAGGTTTCATCACTTTTTGTTCTGAAACACATTTACAGGTTAATTCTGCCTTCATTATATTTATGGATATAGGTTCTCCTGAAACTGCTTTTCAAGTTATAAACTTGAAGCTAAACTTGAAGAGGAAGTCATCAGTTCATTTTATTTGTATTGTGAGGCCACAATATTAGTACTTTTATCCTATTATGTTTTAAATAAAACTAAATCTGAACTATTTCCAATGATTAAAGGTTATGTAGCTGCAATTTGAGCTAAGTATAGTTTTTTCCATGCTATTTTGTTTCATAGCTGAATATTCTATTTAATTGCCGTTTATTCAAGGGTAATAGTTGAGTGGTACAATGTACGCTAACCTATTAAATATTTTGAGACTTTCAAAAGTATAACTGTCTACTTCTTTGTTTCATGGCACATAGCTTTGAAAAGCTTGTTTTGTTCTCCTGGTAATAGTAATAGAGTCAAACAGTTATTATTTTTGATAATTGTCTTTTTTTTTCCCCCTGTTTTTCCCATACAGATTTGGACGATTCTCTTAATCTTTGGAAAGTTCCAGCCAGTCAAAGCCATTCTTCACATTCTCAGTCAACATCAGAAACTATGGTAACGTCCAGAGTAATCTCTTTATTTTTAACGAGTTGTTAATGAGATGCTGTGGAGAAAATAAAGTACTTAAAAAAAAAAAAAAAAAAGAAAAAGCTTCAAGTAAACTGAAAAAAAATAATCAAATTTACTGTGAATTAGCTGAGTATGCTGAGTAAAACTTTAAAATGGCTTGTCTAGCTAAATGCATAGGACAGTGCTAAAATTCTATAGCTTCTCCCACTAAGATATACTCTGTAGAGATTACTCTACTCTGTAATTGGCTTTATTGACAAAATGCAATCATTGCTGTCTGTTGCCACTTCTGCTTATATCCAAACTGTTCTTTCAGAATGAACCTATATTTACATCATACAAATATAGGACTGGATCAATCAAAACAACAGAGGTGTATTGTGCTAAAATAATGAACACTGCATTCTGAAAATGTGTTTATAAAACTTGAAAGTGCCACAAGTGTTCAGAAGACTCAAGATAGAAAAGAACAATATTAGAAAACAGGTTTCTGTTTGAAAAGTTTGCTTCTGGCTAGGATGACTTCTGCAGTGAAATACTGTAAACATACATGTATGCTATTTTCAAAATGGCAAATGCAAAAGGAGAAAATTAAATAGATTCTTCCAGTTCCAGAATCAATTAACAATACTAGATGAGGCTGTGGGGGAAGCTTCTATAACATTCATTAATTACCTAATAAAAATAATATATTTTCAAAGACTGTAGCATAACTCCAAGAAATTTTTGACATATTTATATATTTATATTTCTATATTTTTGTTGACATTTTCTGATATATGAATAACCATTATTTCATAATGTAATATGAAAGCCATAACGTTACATCTATCAAAGCTGTCACAGCTAAGTGTAGGTTTCTTTTAAAGTCATTGGGGGGAAAAAACAACAAAACAAAACAAAAAAACAAACAACAAACCATAAAACACAATTACTAATGCAATAACAATAGCATTATCTCTAGTTTTGTTTTCCACTAATTCCTTGTATGAAAGAAAATATTTACATCAAGAGCATTATAGGTCATATTCATGTTCACTGCTTCATATTTCAGTTAACATGGTCCTGATTTATTAAATGCTACTGCTGAAACTCAGCACTTAAGATACCTATATTGTTTCTGTTTTGCTATATTCATAGCTGCTTATTTTGGATATAACCAGTTTCATATACATAGTTTTAGCATAGTTTTCATTTGATTGTGCTTTTTTTTTTTTAATCTTTTCTTAACAGTGTATTACTAGGCTAAGGCACTTGCAAGTTTCCCACTTAAAGAATGTTATGGCTGTGTCTTTACTTTGACAATAATTACTTTTGAACTAGTAGCCCAGAAGTTTATTTTCTGTTAAGCAAGTGTACAGATATAACAAATACTTATAAAACACACCAGGATACTGTATTATTGACTCAAATTGCTATGCCTAATTTTACTGTGGAAGGGGATCAAAAAAAAACAAAAACAGGAAAGCCAGTACTGAAACTTTTTGTCTCAAAATGTTTCATAGTTAACATTTTTCCTTTTTGTTTGACTCTTATAATTAATTTATGAAGAGCACTTCTACTATATTTTTAATACTTTGGAAAAATATACCTGTGTGTTAAGCTAAATCATCTCTTTTGAATTTAGAAATTTTATTAGTGAACCTGCTTTTCATTTGTCGTATAAAAAACCACAATAATAATAATAATAAAACAACAACAACAAAAACACAAATACCTTTGTATCATTCTAAACACAAATATTCATAGTTGAGTGTTTGAAACTAAAATAAATGAAGCTCCATGTAAATCAGGAAATACATGCTTCTTCGTTTTAGGTGAATGCTACTTAAAGGAAAAAAACATTTTAATAGGAATCTTATGCTATTTACAAACACTTACTTCCTCTTTTTAATGAATAGGGTGTTACTTTCTTACTAAAGTTGAACAAATTTAAGTTTTTGTTCATTTGTTTGCACTTGAGGTGAAAGTTAATTTTCAGAAGTTCTTCCTAATATTTGATCTACTTGAAGTTGTGCTTGAGTGCTCATGAAGAATTAATTCATTGCAACAAGCTAGTGCAGCTTCAGTGGCTTAAAAAAAAATAAAAAAAAAAGAAAAAGAAAAAGAAAATACATTGGAATCTACTAGGTCAAATTAATGTATTTTAATTTATACGTGTAAAGTAGTATCATAGGTTAAGGTAAAGGCTTTGCTCTGTAGTTCCAATTAATTATATAAATCTGAAGGCATATTGACGTATAGTAATTTGTATCAGTCCTCCAGATGTTGTAGACTTTACATTCAGGATTACTTGACTGTCAAGATGGAAAGTGATTTTATTTCCATTTGTCCTACACATTCATTAATACCGTCAGTTTTTTAAGAGCTGTAAACTCGTTTGTATAGACTGTTTCTTTCTTGCCTATAAAAAAAACAACATGTTGATGTGCTGGATAGATAAAGAGTTGCAGAGGTCTCGTATTTCAATGCCAGCTGAAGAGACGGGAAAGACACAGGAAGGGAACTGAGGCTAAATATAAACTGTATTTCAGAGCGCAGTTAATGACTATGAAGTGTCTGTCTAGTAGAGTTTGGAAATAGTTTTTAAAATAACATGATTTGAAATAAGGCACTTGCAGTTTATTTCTTACACTTCTGATTTTACCTTCCTACAGATTAGCCTAAAGCTTTCAATTTTGATAAGTGAAGAAAAGAAACATATTTATGAAGTCATTACGAAAAGTTTAAAGAAGTTTCTTCTCTTGATGTTACCAGTAGCACATAATCATTCCAAGCCCACTAGATGGCAAGCTTTCCCTATCGTAGTTGAAAGGGAGTCTTCAGGTTCTCTTGCAGGGAAAAGTGTTTGTATGATACAGATTTGGAGACAACAGCCACAAGTAATTGAGAGTTACCAGCTATCAAAACAAGTAAAAATATTTATTTTGGAAGATCTTTTCTGATATTTAATAAGTTTTAAAGAAAAAATATTTTAATTATGTCTATATCTATTCATTGCATAAATGCTAGTTTAGGAAGATAAAACTGTTTTTTTTTGCTTCAATAAACCACATACAGAAGATTTTTATGGAAGCTAGTGTGCTTGAATTCTATGAACACAAAAGGGCTATTATTATTCTATAAATTCTATGAACAGAAAAGGATGATTATTATTATTGTTTTTTAATATATTTAAAAACAGTTCTAACATAAACAAAAAGACAGTATTAGTTTTCTGTTCTCAGATTTAATGTAATCTAAGGTATCCACTACCCAAGCCTGATTGACACAGTGTTCACATGACCCTAAGTCAAAATAGTATCTGAATCTTTTTTTTTGGACTCATTGTTTTTCCTTATCCCTGATGTTTTTCCCCAAATCTGCAAAAATTAAAAAAGTGAAAATTAAATAGCAAATACACTAAATAACAGAAATTATTATTATTATTTTACTTTAGTCTATAAAATAGTCTGTCAAAGGTCTTGCAGAGGCTGTAAGTACAATTTTGCACATTTTATAGAGTGAAGAATGGAGGTGTGGGAATGAAATCAATGATTCAAGGTCACATAAAAGACAGCAAGAGAGCTGGGTTGATTGTACTTTGACACATGCTGTATTTAGTGTCTTTAAGGTCTTGGTGAATTACAGTGAATTTTGTCAAATTTATTTTTCTGTAAACTGTACTGTGGATGTTGCAAGCAGTCTGATTCTGATAAAATAATACATCTTTGACTTCTATAAAATTTATAATTTAAACATTAATTTAAGTTCTTATTACAGAAAATTTGCTTTAATTATTATGTTTGTTTTATATTTAGTATGTATGATTGGTTGAGAACACCAGTCAGCATAGACATACCAATGTATTTCACACTAGGGATGTCTTTTGGCCAGGACTGCTTTGCAGAACAAACAGTTACTGAAAAACTTGAGCAGTGGTGCAGGTACAAATATTTCCCAGATAGCCAAGTTACGGCCAATCTTTTTTTTATTAAATTTTCCTATTTTATAAAAAATGTGTACTTTATTGTCTGAATTTGTGGTTACCAGAGAGCTGTATAGTTAAGTGATTTAAAGCTTTGAAAAGATAATTAGTCACTACATGCTTTCAAAAGCAGAGCCAGAAGGATTTGTATTCTAGAAGTTAAAAAAGTTTGCTGAAAGTGTTCAGACAATTTTGCAAGATGCAAAAAGAATTTATTGTGCAATGTAGGTGATGTTATTTATTAACATGTGAAGGCCTTTATGAATTCATAACTATCTTTAAGATGACTCAATATAGTAGTAACTTCTTCCAGGGTTTTACATGTTGCAGAAATGGACTAGTAGAGATTGCATTTGTACTTTTCAAGAAAGATTTGTCATTCATTAGAATACTTGCAATTGCAGTGCTAAATGCATGCAGAATTTGTCACAAGTCAAGTGGATTGATTTAATAATCATTTTCAAGAATGATTTAAATCTGAAGTTATGAAGCTTTAATTCATTTCAAATAGCAAATAGTGTTCTTCAGTTGTATATCTAAACAAAGTTTGAATTTGAATTGTTTGGTGCAATTTGGTACTGCTTTTTGCTAACAAGAAAAATACTATCTCAGGCAAGTCCTAGTCCCCCAGATATATGTAAATCATGGTTTTCAGACATGCATCACAAATCTTACTGTAGCTTATCTTCAGTGTTACAGTATTACATTGAGAAATATTTGAGACTGTAGGATGGACTATATTAGGACAGGTTAAAATGGGGGAGACAACAGAGCTATAACATGGAGGTAGCTACCTTTCGTTCAGACAGGGACTTGTGGTCTCAAGTAAAAAATGTGCTGATAGAATTATAGAATGTTTTGGATTGGAAGGGACCTTAAGAGCCATCTAGTTCCACCCCTCTCTGCCAAGAGCTATTTGCTCAAAGTCCTGACAACATTTGACAGTGGTGGTGCATGGGGCGGTGGGGTTAAACCTTCCTAAGGATGAGAAAATACTATAGAGAGAATACCTGTAGCTCAAAGTGCTTCTAGAAAATCAAAGCCAAACCTGGAAAGAAGTAATCTAGCTGCAAGAATACAATGGGTAGGAAGAATAATTTCTGATTTCCTTTTCCCCACGCTTTTCTTTGTGTTTTCTTCATTAAGTTGCTTCTGACTTTTCCATAGGTAAAAAAAATATCCCAACTGATACTTTAATAAAACTTTGAAGTACCTCAAAAGTTTTATTTGTAGTCTCCCTTAGAAAGCTCACAGTGAAGAAAAGTCTTAATAAGATATTTCAAGATGCTGTGACTGTCCAGGTATTTCATCACAGTCCCCAAAGCCTTGTGTTTTTTACAATGCACATTGATTTTTTTTTGGGGGGGGGGAGGGGAGAATAGATATAGATGACTTCTTCAGATAAGAATCAAAATTAATGAGTGAAAAAATTAACCAATGTGGGCGATACTTATGTACTTTGACAGGTCAGAGGTCTTGTCATGTCACAAAACTGCTAAGCTGTGAATTCTAGTTCTTCTGATTTCAGGCTTATGGTTTTAAACAATAACAAAAGTATTAAGAATCCCTTTTGAAATCATGCAGAACTAATAATATGATGACTACTGTAGTTGCTCAGTGGGTAGAAGGAACGTGGTAGTATGGTGAAAGTTATACAAAGTCATGTAAGTATCTAGTATTTTCAATCTGTAATAAACCTAAGATTCACAGGAGGAAGATTAAGGCAAGTACTCTGCGTCAGAAAGGCTCTGGAACTTCCACTTACCCACTTTATCTGCGTGTGTCTTGGTACAAATGGATAAGTGCTGATGCTTTCTGTAGAGCAAATAGTCTATGAGAAATTTGAGTTTAAATGCTTCAGTAGCACCTCTCCTCCTCCTCCTCTCGATTTATTTTTTAATTTGAAAATAGATTGAATCAGTTATATGGATGGGGAAAAAAGAAAAAGATGAAGAAATGTCCACTACCATGGACATTGATCAGCTTTTAGCTGTAATGTTTCAGGCTGTTTGTATTGCTTATCTTATCAATAGTTTCAATCATTGGATGCATATAAATATATATATTTTCTTGTATATTAATACATTTTTATATCTATCTATCTATATATATATATACACACACATATATGCGAAAAACTGTAATCAAATAAATTTTGACCGTGATCAATTTTTACAACTTTTGTTTGTTTGTATAAGCAAAATGTAAATGGAAGTCTGCTCTATCAAAGCTGGAATCAACTACTTTTCTTTTTATGGCTTTCTAGATTCTATCTGCATCACAGTCACTGGAAAGTGTTACTGAGCTTCGGTCAACGGTCCCAACAAATTCAAACAATTTCATTCCAGAAACTGCAGTTAGTCGGCTTACAGCACAAGGTAAGTCAAACTTCGAGTTTTAATACATAATGATTGCCACTTAGCCTACCGATATTCCAGTATTTGTACATAAATACAATGCTTGTGTATTACTGGAACACACACCAGTGATGTTTCTAATGGTTATATTAGAAGACAAGCATGAAATACCATCTTTAAAAGAAAATAGGGTGACTTAGATTTGACAGAAGTGAGGTAGACTGTCTTACAGTCACCCTTTTAAAATATTTGATTTTGATAAAGCTGCCATATGTATGTGTGTACACACAGAAAAAGCTTTTGGTGTGTTTAAATATAGTTGTAAAGTGATAAAATGTATATATAATGCAAATAAGCTTATGTATATAATGAGATATATATAGATTTTTAAAAACATTGTTTAAGGAAAGAATTGAAAACAAAATTTGTATAATTCCAAATTTAGCTTTTATCTTTTGCAATTATTGCTGTTCTGTAGAAAGAACACTTTGTTTCAGAGCTATTTTAAATAACACTTTCCTGTATTTGATGTTTTTTCCGCTCCAGAATATACTGTTCTAAGTATAAAACAAACCTGGATATTTTCTGAAAAATAGAAATCAAGTTATTTTCTGTAACTACTCTACATATTTTTGTATCTTTTTGTTGTTGTTGTTTAAACACTTTTTAGGTCAAAGTGATACTACCACAGCAGCATCTCCAAGTCAACATGATTCTGCCACATCTGCTATGTCTAAACAATGTGCTGTAGTCACACCTGCACTTTTGTCAGCAGTTTGCAGCCTTCTGCACAATCTGATGATTGTTACACCAAAAGATACTGGAATTGCTCTTCAACAAGTACATTTGCTAACAGCTCTCAGCAGGTATGAGATCAATAACTGCTGAACTACAGACAAAGTGTAGTAATGTAATAGCAGTAAAAAGTTTGAAATGAGATCTATGGGTATGGCAAAATTGTTAAAGTTATTGATCAATTCTTGCTTCTGGAGTGTTTTTTATTTTTTTTGACATACAACCAATAAAAGAATTAGATTTATTTTTTTTCATAGGAGAAGTAGTCACATTGGTGATACCATTTGTGGTGTGCAGTTTCTACAGGACTACTGTGTGCTGGTCATGTGATGTTTGGTCTAGATGACCATTTAGTCATCTTTTTTTCTCTTTTTAACACAGTGGTATTTGATGTAGTCAGAGGGTATTGAACATTAATCTGACAGAATTGCAGATCATTTTGATTAATTTTATGATTTTCTAGTTTTAACTAAATAAAACTGTATTTTGAGAGTAATCCAAGGCCTGTTGCACTAAAAGAGAGTAAGCAATGCTTGACAGCTTTGGGAAAGATCAGAGACTATAGTGGGTTTTTTTGTTGTTGTTGTTTGCTTGTTCTATTTTTGTTTCTATTTTTTTAAATAAGGAACATCTGCAAAAATAGTCTTCAGATTGTATTCCATGTTTTTACTTGCATCATAATAAATTCTTTCACCTGCAGACAGTGCTTGGAAATCCTGAAGTGAAGCATATATTTTTTTAATTCTTTAAAGAGCTTTTGTAGTTGATCTTCATATAGCAATTAAGGAAAAATCTTGTTTGAATACAGTTTATACTACTGCAGAGCTGTTTATTGTTGCACAAGAAAGAAAATAAGTAATCCAATGTAAAGAATTTTAACCAGTGAAATAATAGCCATAGGAATTTATTCTAGCTGTTCTGGACCAGTTTAATGCTACAATGGTTGCTATTGCACTAGGTATATTCCAAAAAAATAAAAAGAAAAATACTATTTTAAGAAAATACATCATAATTTACTTTTGCTCTGTTTAAAATGTTCTCAGATGTAGAGTGTTAAGTTAGTAGGATGTTTAATTATTTAAGTATATTTCTAACCAGTTTACTTGATTTTATTTTAGCCTTGTAAGTGCTAATCTGGTTGAGAGATATATCTTGGAATTGAAAGCTCCACTGGGTCATCCATGTCATACAGAACATGTAAAAGCTCAGGTTAGAAATGTACTTGTTACTATTCTTTTAATTATGAAATTAGTTATGTTTGTTATCTGTATTCCTTAACTTATGCCAGACATATTGCTATATTCATATGCATCTGTGTTTTTGAAAGGTTTGAGAGAAAATAAGCAGTATTATGTTCAACATAGAAAAAATAATTTCTGGATTACAACAATACCTAGAACCATCAAACAACTGAAAACCAATTTTGTATTTTTAAAACACATTAAATTGAGCACTTATAATAAACACGTAATAGAATTTCTTTGTACAGAATTGAAGGGTAAGACAGATGCAGTTACTGACAGTTATTTTCCATGACAAATCTGGCAGCTTTGCTTTGTCTCCAGTGCTGCAGACACTTGCATAGTTCTCAACTAATTCTGATGTATGCAAAATGTATAAGGGTTGTTGCTAACAGAATCACTTTTGTCTCAAATTTAACTTAGCAAAATATTTAGTTCAAAGGCAGATACCCATGTCGTTAAGAAAAAATGTTCCTGCAGATATAGTGAAAAGTGTTCCTGCAAAAAATACTACTTTTTAAAGTTTCAAACTGTGTTTGTTTTCAGGAAATATACATATATTTGTCAATATTATTGACCAGTCTAATGTTTTTGTTTATGAGCTTCAAGAGAATATCATGCTGTACACATAATGAAAGTCATGACTTTCTCACAGCGAAGTTTATTCTTTGTCCCTAGAAAGTTGATTACATACACGTTTCAAGAATAGGAATTTTGTTTCATCTACTACAGTACATATTAGGAGAACAATTTTTAGTTTGCATCTTTTTTTTCTTTCAAGTGGTATATATTCATTCAAAATGTTATAAATCAGTTGAGTTAATGCATTAAAAAATATGGAAGATGCAAATGTATGGCTTTTATTTCATATATTTTAAAAAATATTTAACAGGTACTATTGCTACTCCAATACTTATCATCTGTGTCCAGGCTTCTGAAAGCATGTTTACTAGTGGACTCTCAGCTTGTAATCCAGGATGAACTGTTGAAACCTCTCTTGGGAAATACCTTCACTATTCTCTCCATTCGCTGTAAAGATGGGCTAGGTAAATAAAGAACTTTGTTTCCAGTATAGCCAAACAGCAGCAGGTCTTTATTTAAGTATCATTTAAAGTTGTGACTTTAGCTATCCAGATTTGTATGCATGTGTAAATAATTTGATTTTTCTCTATTATCTTTACAGATACTGAGTTAACATCTGTACTTCGTGAAACCTGGGTAGACCTCTTCAACCTTCTAACTACATTATTGTGGAAGAATAGCCAAATATCTTTTCCATTTGTGACAGCAGCTCTTGCAAATCACTGTACAGCCATAATTGGTAATAACCATTTCTGGATGAGTTTTAACCTGATAACTAATAAATTAAATAAATAGAAGAAGTATACCTCTTTAGATGCTACTAAATGATTGTCAATGGTATATCCAAAATTATAAACATAAATGTACCCAGAAAGTTTGAGTGACTTGTTTCAAATGAACTTTTTTTATTTCTTCCTTATACCATCATGTTAATTTTTGAACTGCAATATAAATTCACAAATCATGTTTTCATATGTGGGGTAGTGATTCTAGCTGTAAATCTTAACCAAGTACATCAAATAGAGCCTGAAATGATCCATTAGCACTTTTTTACCCTGTGTGTATATTTTTGTTTTATCTTACTTTTTGCTTGCCTTTTGTGTTTTGCAATAATATAAGGGACACAGCAATTCAAGATTATTATACAGGTAGTCTGTGGGTGGGTATTTTTCTTTTTTAGATTATTCCTCTGTTAATTACTTGCCTAGTGAGGGCTCCAAGGTCACCAAGATTCTCTAATATTTTTAGAGAAACCAAAGTGTGAGCATCGTTCAAGCTTGTGATTTCTGACAGGTGTATGTTAAATGGTGGGGGTAAATTCAAATCCAATTGCACATAAAGCAGCTGATGAGTACTGTCAGTACTATAACATAAGCTTTTGAATAAAATGAGGAGAGTTCAGAAAATTGTAAAACAAATGACTTAGCAAATGGCAATCTTACTGTCAAAGTACGTAGAATTCCTTACGTAGTACACTAATATAGCAGTTTTTTGGCTAGTACTTTCTTTGATAAGTTTCTGAGTTCTGAAGCATTTAAGTGTTACTTAGAATTAAATATAAAGATCTTTTTTATTTAACCTTTCAGATACCATTTGTGATTGTGTTCATCTGTCAAACACATATCCTGCTTTATTTATGGCTAGTTTACAGTTCCTCTCTGTCCTTTTGAGTGAGGAAGGAAGACGACAGCTCCAAGATGAACAGAGTATATGTCAGAACTCAACTGTTAGCTTTTTTTTAGATCACGTTGAAGGAAGTCAAACATCAGTAATTCAACTTACTGAATTAATTATTCAGGTATTTATAGTTTAATAATGTGATTGTGGGATATATTTTTGCTTTTTTGTATTTTGTTAAAGGAATGTTGTTGTCTAATGAAAAATCAGTTGATTCCAGTTATGAACGGAGACATCTTTCATCTGAGGCATCTATTACGTTCATTTTTGAAATTCATGTAATAAGGTAGAGAAATTGCAAAGAAGCCATTCCTAGGAAGTTCTTTGGCCATTACTTTTGTGCAACAGCAGCGTGGGATGAAATCTTATGTAGGGAAGATATTTCTTGTATAGAATATATCTGTTCAAATACTGATACGGCATTCTATCTTCCTGTTCTTCCAAACGCTAAATGAGATTTTAAGGTTCAAGCTGTAATTCTCCCCATTGTAAATCACAGCATCATTGTTCTTTACAAACTCTTAGTAAAAAAAAAAAAAAAAAAAAAAAAGAAAAAAAAGTGAATGAAAATGAACCAGTAAGACCTTCAGTTCATTCCCACATAATGTAAGAGCAGTATTGCTTAAATGCACTTAATATTACTATATTTTTCCAAACTAGTTTTAAGTCGTCCAGATAGCGTATTTTCATCAAGTCTCTCAGAAACTTGTTGCCTCACATAATATATATTGGTGACAAGGTGTTTTCTAAGATAATTATTCTGAATATTCTCTTTCCTACAGTAATCTCATTATTTTTATTTATACTTTTTTTGTACTGCCCAGAATAACAGTCTGTAAATAAACGGAGGTAAAAATTAAAATCTTCCATTACTTAGCAATAACATAAGTTGTATATGAAATTTGTCTATCTTCCCTTACATACATTATCCATTCTGTCTCTGCTCATTGTCCTTTAAAATATGTGCAGTTTGTCACTGTAACAATAATATTTATCCATGAGTAAAGATACTAAAACATTTGCTGAAACTGAAACACTTCCATTTACCAATGCTTTTTATTTTATTTTTTTATTTAGTTCAGTAGTGTTTGACTACAAGACACAAGTTTCATAAAACCTAAAGTAACTCTCAATTTCTAGTGTTCTGGAGTCACTTAACTTTTTTATGTTATCACATTTAGACCTATTTTGCTATGTTAAATATTGTGTGTTGAATATATATCAGTTGATACATATTTATGACATGTAGTGTGACTACAATAATGCTGTCTTAGTATCATCTCATCTGCTCTCTTCCTATGGTTGCTGAATCCTTGTAGAATAACCTCAAAGAAGAACTGAAAAGATAACTTGTTCTTATATTACGTGAAAGGGTATATATCTGCTATGATTCTCAAAAATAATAGAACTAGAAAAGAAGCAGCTTCAGTTTTCTGAAAGCAGAGAATATACATTTAGTTACATCTACTCATTTATTTATTTTTTACATGGTACCCATTGAGAAACAGTTGAAATAGGAGGCTATAGTATGTAAAGTAAGCTATTAATATAATCGATGATGGTAAATATGGTCAAAGAGAAGCACTCAAGCAAATAATTGACTAACTTAAAGAAGGATGGGAATTTTTAAGCAATCAGTTATCTCCATTAAACATCCTAACTACCTAAAATCTACAGAATGGATTATATACAATGGCAAATGGTCACTCTACGTCTGCAAGTGTGACCAGGTACTAAATATGCTTTACTAAATTGGTTGTATGCAATAAACACACCTACTGACTTTGAAAGGCCTAGGTACTTCTATATATGTAAACTTTAACCTTTATATATGCGTTTTCAAGATAAGAAATAAAAGTAATAAAAAAAACATAATGTATATGCAAAATCTCAAGTTTAAATTCTACTCTTTTTCTGGATATAAAACTTGTAATATTTTGTAAAGTATGTAATCTCCCCTTTAACTAACCTAGTGGGTGCAGACTAACATAGCCAGATCTGCTGAAGATTTAAAGGACATCTTAAACTTATTAATCATAATCTACAAAAAGAATTGAAGGTGTCCATTCTCTTTTTAATGCCATAATATTAATAAGCTAAAACCACAGGATCTGCTATTTGAAGGTGTTATGAGTTTACACATAGCTATTTTTTCCACTCATCTAGTAGGCAGTCATCAATTAATTATTATGTGTTCCCTATGATTGACATAAATTGTCCTTTTTATTATAATCTGAAAATCTTAATTGCAGAATAAGGAAAAATACAAAGAAAAGAATATGTTTCAAAGAAGGATGGACTTTTTGCTAGATCTTAGGGTGAAATTTAGAAAACAGACAAAATGGAAGCTTAAAAAAATACATAAAAGTATGTGTATATATGTATATATACACAAATGTACAACCAAGCGTAGTTATTTAATCAGTTCTAACTGACCACGTAGTATTTTAATCAAAGGAAAACACCTGAGAGACTGATGAGGAAATATGTTTTGTTGTTTGTTTTTTTGTTTCATTTTTGCATAATGATTATTATATTTAAAAATATATATAAACAAGTAGCAATTTAACGGGCTAAAAGGTTCTGAATGGCTAAATCACAGAAGTCCCAGGTTCATGCTTTGTTGATCTATTTTCTGTCAGTTGTCTATATTGAATTGTCTTCTTTTTAAGTCATTAACGTACTAGTCCTTATTTCTTGATGTTTTTAGTTCTGGTAGCACTGAACAAATCAGTGATAACCCTAGGACAAACACGGATATTTTATTGCATATTGAAATTTGAAAGATATGTTAGACAATTACTAGTTAGAGGACAGAGGGCAATAAGAGGCTGAATATGTGATGTATGTGTAGCAGCAAAAAAGTTAGGTAGTCCTTGTCTAGGTACTTACAAGATTTTTGGCTGAAGTAAGCTTTTATTTAAATGCTGGATTTTAGGCTGACTTCAAAATAAATTTTTCCTTTGCCATAATCCAGCACCAGTTCCAACTTTACTATATTCTTCTGATTACATTATATACAATTTTCATTTTACATGGGAAACATTTTGAGGGAAAATTGCTAGACAGACAAAATTCCCCAGTAGATAATATATAAAGCACAGACAATTCTCAGTCTTTTAAGTCTCTTGTTATATGACTCCAAATATATTCCTTTGAAAGTATAGAGTTTACATTTACATTATTAGAAATGCAAGGTAATAGCAAAGACGAAGATAAGGGGTACAGAAATACGCTGCCATTTTTATCCTGTTGGAAGAGTATTTTAAAATTATCTGGGTCAATGATATTTTTACTCTAAATAATTTCATTGATATGTAATGTTCCTTCTCATTCTGTTGAAGGGAAGTCAAATTGCACTGAAGTATGTTGTAATAGTATTCCTGAATATTAGAAATGGTCTGTGGAATCCCAGTATTGAGGCTTTAGGAAAGTAGCATGTTAAGAAAAGAATAAAAGGAGTGGGCTCAGAAATACTTTCCCTTTCCATCACTCTCTCATCTCTTTTACTTAGAGAAAATAATAAAACACTTCAGTGTAAATAAACTATAAACATGAATTTAAAGAGGGAGAATTCCAGATAGGAAAATAGTGATGAATCATCAGAATGAGCATATAGACTCTGGTAACATATTTACAATATGAATGCTACTTTTAATATGATCACTTTTTCAATATGGTGATGAAATTGCTTTATTTGTAGGTCTGTGAAAGGAAATCTTCAAAAGATGTGCTGAAGGAAGTTGCTGTAAGTGCATTGCTGTCTCTGTTGGCTGTCAGTAAAAGCGCCCAGAAATGTGCTTTAGAAGGTGAGCATTTAAAAATGTACGTTAAATGCTTTATAAATCAAATTTCACAGTTTTTAAATTATGTCCTTTGTCAAAATAAAAGACCTAGTTTTCAGAGGCATTTTTTGCAGATTTTAATGGAGAAATTTTATTAATAATTAAAACTTTTTCAGCTACAGATACTTTGTTTTGTCCAGTCCAAAACTTCATGGTTAAAAAAATGTTATGTTAGAATGAGAAGCGCTGTGAGCTTTTACAGCTAGCAGCATATTAATTCATTCAAAACTGGAGGTCTCTTCACACTAGGAGTGTCTTAGGGAACTGAACATCTGCTTTTCTTTGTCTCACCTTGCATGTAGCAAATCTACTGTGGTGGGGATGTACTTAAGCGAGATAAATGCATGCCTTAACCTTTTGAAGTTTTAGTCTTCTGTGCAGCATTGTTGAAGATAAGCTGAAGAATTATGATTTGTTTTCCTCTTCTTCCCAATTCATTTTCATATGCTAGCCTAACAGTCTCCATCTTTGACAACTGTCTGTCTTGTTTCAGCAACTTGTAACTAATACAGAGCTAGGAGTATTTCGAAAAAGATCATAAAAAGAATTAATCAAAAATTACTTTCCACCTTCCATCTTATCAGTCCCTCCTTTGGACATTATATTTTTGGTTCTTGAGATTGTTCTACTAGACACAATCCATCTCAGGAACTGTAGTAGTAATTTTCTGATATAAAGAAATATTATAAGTTACAGAATTTGTAGAACTAAATCTTTAAATTTCAGTTCAGGAGGGTAACAGCAATCAAGATCATTGCAAGCAAGATATTTTATGTTCCATAATGGCCATTGTTGTATTGCCAGAAGATGTTAGTAACCCATCCTCTTAATTTTTTTTATTGTTTTCTTTTCAGTAGTTTTGAAATTTCATATTTTAAAGGGTATTTTGAATTCCTTTTTTAGGAATTAAAATTAATTATGAATTATCTTCTATCTTAATTTTGAATTATCTTCTAAATATTAATGATTTTTGTCTTCCAGTTGACCTGATAGACAATTGTATAGAACAGATGAAACATATTCATGTACAGCTGAATTTGGATTCTCTAAAGCCTGGGAAAGCACAGAGAAAAAAGGTAACACAAAAACAAACAAACAACTAGCCAAACAAACAAAACCCACCTTGATATAATATGGCACTTCTCAGCCCTCTTTTTTTTTTCATTGACATGGATACTGTTGGTAGCTGTCACAGGTGAGTCAGAGTAAATGACAGCTTGTGGTGGTTCTGGATAATAGGGCTTCTTTAAGAGTCTTCTTTATGGGCTTCTTTATGGAGCTTTTGCGAACTTGATTATTTCATCAACTTGCTCTCACACCCAGAGTTATGTTCATTAGTTCTCAATTTCCCATTAGGGCAATGCTGCTGAACACTGCTGGTTCAGGAAGGTCTGGCAGAAAGTTCATTGGTTCATGCTGTGCAGCTGCTCAGGTACCAGTCCTGGGTGTTCACAGCCAAAGCCTTCCTCCCTCTCCCCCCACTTTGTTTTCCTCAGAGACGGACAGCTTTTCTTTCCAGAACTTTAAGCCCCCATTTTCTTTAATCTAAGTAATTTGTGTGTGAAGTACAATGCATGATCAGCCTCTGAATTGGTGTTTCTGTCTCATGTCCCTTTATTAACTGTGGGATTCAGGACTTCCCACTTCTATTTGAGGCTATCTGAACTAGCAGCCAGTCCATTCTGGTTGAAGCCAGGAACAAAAGAGCTTTTGTTTGAGACTTCAGAAGTTCAGTTCTGAATATTCACACACATGCACGTTTATCTGTTTTCCACCTGTCAGTGTTTGCAATTTATGATTTTTTTTAGCTTACAACAATGTCTAATAGTCCTGTGTTATCTGTATTATTTTTCAAACATAGCTGGACTTTCATCCTTTGCAGTCATGGTCCTGCCCAATCCAACTAATTTTTCTGACCTTTTTCTATTTCTCAGGTTTTCTTTCTGTGTCTTTCAGTTGGTGCTAGCCGTTTTCTGTCTTTTCCTGTTTTGGTCAATCACCTTGCCACCCCACAAGTAGTTGCATTCTACTTGTGCATCCAAGTTATGTTTTTATATTCTTTAAGTTCCCATATTATCTGGCTTCCAGTTCTGGAAGGTCTGTAGGTCTTTCTGTCCTACATCCTTGGACTGGGCACTTCGATCTCTTATTGACTCAATTGACCCTGTCATTAGTTTCTTTTCAGTGCTCTTTTACTTGTGCTTATCCCACTACCTGTACTCCCACATTCTCTCTGTTCCCAAGTCTTTTTGTTTAGCTTTTATTTAACTTACAATCATTCCAGATTCTACATGTACAATGACCCAGCTCTTCCTTACCACATCTAGACATAGACTATTTATAGTTTGATGGGATTGTTGTTGCAATCTGCCTATTTTCTACCATTTTCATTTAAGAGAATTATTAAAATACAAGCAATGACTTCTGATGTCAAATTTGATATCTCATCCAATTCCAGATGATGCAGCAATTGCAGTAAATATCTTTCTGCAGGATAGGTCTGCGTTGTTTAAGCTGGATAGAATTTTTCTCTTTGGCATTGGCACAAACAGACATTAGCCTTCATTTGTGAGGGTATGGAAGTGTGTTTTGTAACAATGACCTCTTAAAAGAATTTGAGTTTGAACCTGAGATTCGAAGGTCACAATTTTTCTTGAAATCTCCTAAACACCTTTATTATCCCTTGAAGGAGGGATAAGCTGAAAGTTTTCTTGTTTTGGGTATGCCCGTTGAGGTTGGAGTCAGCTCGGTTTTTTTTATATTTATTGGGCTGAGAAGGGGAAGCTGCAGACGTTTGAATCTTGTTAAATGTGGAAGGAATTTAAAATCTGACAGAAAATGAATAAAAAAATCCTCTGAGAAAGGTGACCTTAAACAGCCAGAAGGATTTTTTTTATGTTCTATGAAGAAGTCTCTGGAAAAAAATTGCAGAAGACAACAGACTTCTCCATTGAGCTGGGACTGTAGGTTGGTTCATCATGTGTGAGTGTGCTGTTGTTCATTTGTGGTGGTGGAGGAAACAGGAGGATTAGTGAAGAATGAAGATATCCTAAAAAAAAATAAATGAATAAATAAATAAACAGTGCCATCAATACCATCTAATTTTTAAACAGCTAGCAGCTTACATCTGAAGTATTAATTGTAACGTGTGACATTTGATAGGATTTATTGCTGTTTGTTTATTTAAATAAAATAATTCATCAAGAAATTCTTGAAGGAACTTTGTGAATAGCATTTTGTTTAGTTAAAAATGAGGCACACCAGTTATAAATGTGTTTGTAATGATGACGTATGTATTCCTTTTGTTTTGACTGTCAGCACGTTCACGTAGTATGATTTATAAGTAAGCATTTTTTCTTCACATTATTGGGGGCTAAGCATGAATCCTACTTTACCTCTGTTTTCCTTTATACTTGATAAAACAGAAATAGTCTTCTGGATTGAAGAAGCTTACTGGAATTAGATCCACTTTCAGAATTGGTTTTATGCATCAACCTTGTTAGAGGTCAGCCATCATTAGTCTTTTAGTGTCAGAACGCTACCATAAGGATAGGTATTTTGTTCGCTTGAATGTCTATATAGTACCTCACTGTCCAAAGGGCTGTATTTATCTTTGTACTATTCTTACCAGGTTGGAAACTTTCCTGTATTAAGGATAGGGAGCTAAGACACAGGGAATATAAGGATGTATTGGTCTGACCAAATACAGAGATCTGCAAGATAGAGTTAGTTTATCCTTGTTTTTATCCTTGTTTTATCTTGTTTAGGGAAGAAAAATAGGTTCTTCTATGAAGTGATTCATCTGACTTTTTTTTAGATGTCTTCTTTAGGATGGAACAAATCAAACACAGAAAGCATTCCCTCCAATTCTACATTAGTGATAAGAGAAATGGAGCTCTGCATTACAGATCTCTGCATTTGGCCAGGTCAGTTCCCTTAGAATTAATGTGAGTTATAAAGAGACAGGAGGAGGCGTTCAAGTAACTTGCTGTAAATGGCTTTAGTATAAGTGTTTTAAGATAGCTGAGATTAATCTGACCTGAAATCAGAAGGAAACTCTGTGGAAGATATCTGTCCTGAACATTGGTATCTTAGATTTGCACCGCTCCACTGAAATATGTTTCCTTCATCGCGCAAAATGAATTCTGTTTGTGTTTATGATCTTCAAGTTTTTTCTCTAAATAGGAGGATAGCCTTAACAAGCAATTAAGATGTGCTATGCAGCTCCTTAGAAACTGCCTCTTTCGGAATGAAGAATGCAAAGTAAGTAATTCCTTCTAGAGGTGCCCCTCTTGAAGTCATATGTTAGTCCCCTTTTTGTATACAGAACACCATGTAAATTATAGGCCTACATCAGCAATTTGCTTATCCCTAAGGTTCCCATATACCAGTGCTTCAGCTACACTGATGCAACTTTTCTTTTCTAGAATCAAGAACTTTACCTTTACACAAAGGAAAAAAAAATAAATGAGGTTATTGAGCATTTTTCCTGTTTTCATCAAGGATCTGCAGAGACATTTTCTTGAAGGACAGATGGACGTTGTTGTTGATAATTGAACTATTCTATTATTTGCTCTGTAGAACTGCATTATTCTATTTCCATGCTTTTTGAGTTCCAATTAGTTTAACTGGAGTAGAACAAAACTGTAGAATAGGTAGCTCTTCAACAATCACAGCTGGAGTGAATAAATCTTTACTTTTATCTGCGTGTCTCTCAGTAATTAAAACGTTTCAGAGTAGTTCTAGACAAGTTTGGCTTACTGACATAATTCCCCAGAGCACTAAATTTAATTGCTAGCAAATAATATTCAGTAACCATATATTATGAAGCTGACCTGAAACAAAAATACTTGCTGCCAAAATATTTTAATACTAAGGTTTGTATGGTTTATAAAGTGTAGGCATATATATTACTAAAAAGAATTTCAAGATACTCACTGAAGAAGTTAAAGTATGAACAACTGAACAATGGCTATAAATGTCTTGCGAGAATCATGGATCTTTCATTAATGTTGTGGGGTTTTGCTTCTCTCTATACAGTCCTTTAAACCAAACTAATGGGACACAACAAGATAAAAAGTATGCTTTTCTCACTTCGTTTATACTTCAGTGTATTTAATAAAATAGTTTTCATTCTTCCTTGTGTTCTCATAGATGGCAGCACTCAAAGTTCATCTTGTTCCTGTTCTGAATTTGCTATGGCCATGGTTTTTAATAGATGACTCCTCAATGGAAATTGCTCTGCATTTGCTTTGTGTCTACACGGCAAACTATCCTGCAGGTATGAGAGTCACTCTGTGATGTAATACATCAACATATTTTAAAAGAATTAGGATAGCATTAAGAGCAGAGTATAAAAGCACTGGTCTGGTCCATCAAAGTACATCAACAGTTTTGATTTTAATACATTCAAGACTTTTGCTCAGATCCCATTTCACTATGTTGGTTTTAACAAGAATACAGGTGTGTTAAAGGATTAAATAACATTTAATTCAAACCATATTTGAGGGTTACTCTGAAAGCCCTACCAAACTTAGTATACTACAGAAATACAACTTTGGGAATTGTATCACTGAGAACAGTATATCAGTATTTTATACGCTTTGTATTTAAGCTCTTATTGAGAAGATTCTGGTTTTGAATTATTCAATATTATAATTTAATTCCATGTTATATTTGTTATATTTCTTCTATTTATATATCTGGCTTAGTTAACTTGTGTTTGATGAAAGTATATTTTGTGTAAAGATTTTTTTTTAACTGAAGGAATTCTCAGAGTAATTATCCCTGCTAATAGAAGCCTCATTCCATATAACCTGGTTTATTGACTGAGATAACAATTTGCTAGTGGCTTGAAGAGAGCCATATAAGTATGTTGTTTTCTCCCTATAAATACACCTTTAAGAATTAGCTTAGTTAAAATATACTAACAGAACATAACTGAACATTTTTACATTCTTTTTAAGTTAATGTCTCCAGACCTCAAATCAGTTTGCAATGTACTTTTTCATAATGAGGTGTTGTTTATTTTTGTTTTTAATATGGACTTAAGAAATGCATGCATAAATTAGCCACACACAGGATATAAATTTAAAAGCAGGCAATATAAGGCTTTGTGATATACCGGAAATCAAGCTTAAAGTTCTGATGGTCTTTCCTGTTCCTCTGCCTCCAGGCTATATTTGTATTTTTCTTGCTAATAAGGCTTTGGATAAATGTTTTTCTCTTTATGTTCATGGTTGTTGATTTTTGAGGTGACTCAAACTTACTTACCTAGTTTGAGCTGATTAACCGCTTTCCCTTAGTGCAGTCAAATAAATGATGCAGATGTTTGTAATGGTTAAAGACTGTTTTGTTTTTATTTACTCTTGCCATGTAAATAATTAACCACAGTTGCAGTTGGCAAATACCACTAAATTAAAATGTATACGTGCACATTCATGCATAAACATTGTATTGGCAACTTACTTGTTCCCTGCTGCTGTGCTAATTTGAGCTTGTAGTCCTGTAGCATAGTATTTTGCTTGGTAATGTGGTACAAAGTAATGATAGCTCCAGACAACACTTGTTTCTCAGAAAAATACTTTAAGAAAATAAAAGTTTCAGAGTACGGACAAGATTTGTGAACCAGTTTCATAGGGTCACTTTGGATTCTCATGACACACAGTTTTATAATGCCTTGGATATAATGTACCAGGATACATTCTGAGACAGAACAATGACTTTTTTTTAACAGCAGAATAAACTCTTAGATTCTAGAAAAGTAGACTGCCATTCCTGTAAAGTGCTCCATTTGAGTCACTTTTCTATTCAAAGCACATCCCATTTACTTCACTGTGGTTCAAAGGAATTAAAAACAAAACAACAATAAAAAAAATCCTTTTAAAAGTCCCAGCTTGGTCTTTGAGCTGTTCAGCCTCTCTTTAGATGGATTTTTTTTTATTTTTTTTAATGAATATGTACATTCCTCATCTGATAAACGTTTAATTTCCTTAAGGTTGTACTTCACTTTGTTGGGTCAGCAGTGGACAGCCATCACTTTCTGTACGAAGTGCAGCTGGCAATTCATTAATGCATAACATCTTGAAATTGGCTTCTCAAGTATCAAATGATAACAGCTCACTTCAGCAGGTGGTCTTCAATCTTCTTTCTAACCTTGCTTTGTCTCATGACTGTAGAGGCATTATTCATAAGGTAAATAATATTTACTGATTTTTCACAATGTCGTATATGCACTTTCTTCTTCTTAATAAAACCTCATGCTTCAATATGGAATATCTTGTGATTAAAGCTAAACTGTCCCATCTCTTTCAGCCTTTCCCCATATATGACATGCTCTAGTCCCTTAATCATCTTTGTGGCCCTTTGTTGGACTCTCCAGTATGCTCATGTCTCTCATGTGCTGGGTGAGGTACAGAATTGGCCATAGTACTCCAGCCTCACGATTACTGAGTAGAGTGAAAGTATCACCTCTCCACCTGCTGGGAATATGTAGCCCAGTTTACCTTTTCTTTGTGGTAAGGTCACATTGCTGACTTATAGGATCATAGAATTGTTAAGGTTGGAAAAGACCTCCAAGGTCATCTGGTCCAACCATCCCCTACCACTAATATTGCCCACTAAACCATGTCCCTAAGCATCGCATCCAACCTTTCCTTAAACACCCTCAGGGACAGTGATTCCACCATCTCCCTGGGCAACCCATTCCAATGCATAACCACTCTTACTGAGAATAAATTTCTCCTAATTTCCAACCTGAACCTCCCCTGGCACAACTTTGAATCCATTCTGTCTAGTCCTATCTCTAGTAATCTGCAAGAGGCCGATCCCCAGCTCCCCACAACTGCCTCTCAGGTAACTGTAGAGAGTGATAAGGTCTTCCAAGCCTTTTCTTCTCCAGACTAAACAAGCCCAGTTCCCTCAGCTGCTTCTCATAGGACATGTGTTCCATGCCCTTCACCAGCTTCATAGCCCTTCTCTGGACACGCTCCAAAGCCTCGATGTCTTTCATGTTCAACTTGGTGTCCACCAGGACTCCCAGGTCCTTTTCTGCAAAGCTGTTTTTCAGCTGGATGGCCCCCAGCATGTAATGGGTTTGTTCCTCCCTACATTCTTCTCCTTGTTGAACTTTGAGATACTTGTCAGCCCATTTCTTCAGCTTGCTGAGGTTCCCCTGGATGTTGATATGACCCCCTGACATATCAGACATTCCTCCCAATGCCCCCTCATGACCTGTGAAGGGGAGGATACTATACATTTAACACTTGTTCATATAAGTAAGTAATCAATAACACAGTATACTGCATACACAGTAATACTGCATTGATTCAGTTATATTGTTTCTATCTCATTTGGGGGCAAAAACACTAAGCACAAAGTAAAACGCTTAGGTAGTGTTAGAAATTGTACTTCAAATAAATGTATTGTGTTGGTCCAATTTTTAAGTATCTACTACATAAATGATTACATATACCATATAAACTTTTTAACCAAGATATGGATTCTTTAAAGTTATCTATAAACCAATATATAACACAAATGTTTATATATACTATAATGTTAAAATATTTATGTTTAAATAAAACATTAATATATAAATAAAAACATCAGTACTAGGTTTTGATCAAGCATACAGATTGGAAGGTCACACATTAGTGGAGAAAACATGGACTACAATATATCCTAACATCTTTTTTCTTCCTTCTGACAGAGTAACTTCCTGCAGAACTTTTTGTCCCTTTCATTACCAAAAGGAAGTCATAAAAATCCTAGTAACATATGTATTCTTTGGCTAAAGCTGCTACTGAACATATCTTTTGGAGAAGATGGACAGCAAATGATTATGAAGATAAATGGTTTTATAGAACAGATCGTGGAAATGTGTAAAAACAGGCACAAGAATAGCCAATATATAGCACTACTTATTCTACATAACATTTGTTTTAGTCCACCAAATAAACCCAAAATATTAGCTAATGGTAAGTGCCTAAATGGTATTTAAGCTATTAGAAAATGTTATATCTTCAAAAATGCCATGTTTTCATTGTAATTTGGGTTCCTGACCAAGAACTTTATAGAAATGCCTATCTAAGTAATACTAAAATGATTTTCATTGAAGTTTTTATAGAATTGATATTTTGTCAGAAATGGTCTTAAAAACAAGAATTTGTAACAAAAAGAAAAGCAAAACATTTAAAAAATATCATGAGACTGATCATTTGAATATAGTAATTCAACATGAATTAAAGTATTTTTACAGTTTTCTCAAACAGCTAATTTTTTAGAGGGAGATCCGAAGAATTCCATGTGTTGTTGTCTGAAACAGTCTAATTTAGAATTATTAAATATTTCTACCATGGGTTTTCATAACTTTGGACAAAACCTTATTAGTTCCTGCAAATCAAGGTTGTTGACACAAACTTTTATGTTTTGGCATGTGCTGAAACTGTTTATAATAACAGTGAAGTTATGATCATGACATATATGTTTAATGTAACAACATGGACAGAACTTTTCTCAGTTGCTTGTAAAGGGTATGTTTCTTTCTCCCACTTAATTGCAGAGAGAATGCTCCTGCTTTCCTTATAAGAGACTCAGCAGGTCTCTTATAGTGTCCATCCTTATCATTTTTTCCCCTGCAATGCTGATTTGCTGCCTTAATTATAAATGTACATTATCTGCGCATTTTGTGAAGTGAACAATCTGACTTGAAGAGACTTAAAGGTTTCAATCAGACTAGAAAATTAAGTTGCCTACTGCAGGGTTAAAATATTTCTCATCAGTTAAAAATAACCTATGTAGTAATTACTATGGAAAATAGAAACATCTTAATTTCTATCCTGATATGATAGGCTCAAGTTGTGGATACTGGGAGTTATAAAAAGCTTTTATGGCTTCCTCAGTTCCAGTGCATATCTGATGGCTGTGCATAACATGTGCATGTTTTGTTACCAATTTCTTATTTTTCAGCATTATCTTTGTTTTTCTGTGTTTTTAAACACTAATTTCAATTTTGTGAGCATATTTAAATTTAATCAATCTGATAATATAACTTTGGTAATTCTTCTTCCATACCAATACTTGTCATAGAAATAAGTGCGCTCCAAGGATAAAAATAGAGACGTATGTATATATTTGATGATATTTTTAGATGAGGGTGGTTTTTGTTTTGTTTTTGTCTCATTAGATACGGCTGTTGCAGTGCTGTCTACCTGTTTGGAAAGTGATAGTGAAGCAGTTCAGAGGATAGGAGCAGCTTCACTTTGGGCTTTGCTTCACAACTATCAGAAGGTTAGTATTTGCGAAATACTTGAAAAAATGTAATGTTACTGTTATATGTGGCAATCTTTTAGTAAACAAAAAATAAAGCTTATACCAGCAATTTCATTTTCTTATGTTAATAACGTAGGTGATCAGGCTGGGGGGATTGAACAACATAGTAAGTAACTTGCCCTGTGTGATTTCAGACTGCTTATATAAATGCATTCTGGATGATGACAAAGTCATTTGCTAAAATTCCAGCATTTCATATTCTTAATTATTGTCATTTTCTAGTTTAAAACAAAGAAGTTAACTTTGCTGCTAAAGTGTTAACATGGGGGGAAAAATCAAGTGATTTTATTTTGTTTGTGTGTGCTTCAGGCAAAAGTGACTCTGAAGAATCCATCAATAAGGAGAAAAATAGATGAGGCTTATTCTGTAGTGAAGAGTAAGTTTAAATTTCATCTAATGTCAATTATGTATTTTTCCATCAAGTAGCTCACTAATGCATTTTAGTTTATATCTTCATTATACTTTTTTGCTTTCCTATAAGATTTTGAGGGGATATTTTCATCTCTAAAATCATGAGTACAGATATGATTTTTAGCTAGGCATCTTTTGAGTACTTCAAGTACATCTTTCATAGTATTATGGTTAACAAATTTTTAAATTTTAAATCTCAGGTTAGTTTGTAAGAACAGGTCCGATTTGGTTTGCAGCAAAATGCTTTCTTTGCTACATGCTATGCTTCTGTGTTAATTCTTAAACTTTGTAGAAAGAAAGTCTTTATCTAGCATCTACTTTGCTTAACAGTTCTCAGATTGACTTGATTCAGCTACATAGATTAGGGATCATAACAGAACATTGTGCCAGTCTGTACCATGAGTTAATTGAAACCTTGAGTATTTTCCTCAAGTAACTGAAGATAACTATAGGTTAAATAGCTTTTATATGATAGGTTGCTATCTTCGGCTCAAGAGTATTCATTTTGAAATGATTTTCAAACATTGATGTGGAGTTGCAGCTTTAGTTGGTAACAGTGGATTTGTAGTTAGTCACATCAGACTCTGATCTTAGAAACACATGCAAAAGTGTCATTTTGAGCCAATGTTTTGCTGCTGATTTCATTTGCTCTATACTTGTAGTCAAATAGGTTCATTGGTGCAGAGGCTTATTCCCATAGTATTTTGCAAGACAGAATTTCTGTCACAAAATTTCGAGCACTACTTGACAGTATCATAAGTAGGAGATACTAGAACGGATCATGATAGTTCATCCTGTGCAATTGTAATCCATTGATTTCATCGTTGTGCCGTTTCAAATGCATCCTTCGCTAAGTCAACCATCAATATATATGCAATATATATAATGTGCAATATCAATAATATGATGCAACGTTACGTATACCAAAATGGTTTAAAATGGTATAAAAATGGCTAAAATGGTAGATTGTTCTAAGTACAAATGGATACATTTTTCAACATGCCTCTTGTTCTTTTTCATTTCATACTTTGCCTTTCCCAAGGACAAGTTTTAAGAAAAACAAGGGATTACCTTATTGTAACTCAGAAGAATCACAAGGCATTTTTCACTTTTTTTTTTTAATTTGTTACAACTGAATGGGGTCTTGGAAATCTGGTTAATTACAGCCTTTTATAAGCAAACAACAACCATAAACAGACTTTGCAACATATACTTTATGTTCTAAATTTTCTACTCATAACATAGTGGATATACTTATAAAATAGGATGAATTCTAGCAAGGTGTTTGGTATGATCTTTGATAAAAATATTCATTTTTTATTCAGAATCAGCGAGAAGTTCACATCTTGTTTTTTCTTCCTTTTAGCTACTCCACAGCCGGAAGGGAACGAGCTAAATGCCTACTACATAAGATGCTTAGAGAATATTGTGCAGCTTCTTGATTGTTAATGATTATCAGATGAATTCTTATCTTGAAATTGGACAGATTAGTTCAATGGGAGCCTGAAACTTAAAGAAAAGACTTGTAATTCATGGATTTATGAAAGTAGCATGCATGCTATGGAAGAAATTTATGAAGCCTTTGAAGGAGTTGATCACTTTGAACCAAAGAAGTTGCACTAGTTGTGGCTCAGACTGTTTGTACTCTAATCCCAACTGGGAAGTTGTAATGATGCTGCTATGTAAAGTATGTACACAGGAGAATGAATGTACAGAGGAAAAGGATGTGAAAAATCAGTAATCTTCTTAAATTATGCATTGAAATTGTTACTGTAAATTATTAGAGTTGTGGTTTCAGTTTGGTCTTAATAAAATTTTGTTTGTTTTTTAATTCACATCAGCGTATGGTGTCGGTGGATCATAATTTATAATGTTGCAGATAAGAACGGTGGAAATATACTTAGATTTAAGAACTTGTTGTGTTGCCAGTCATGTTGTGTTATGCCTGTTAGGTATAGAACAGCAGCATGTGAGTTTTATTTTTGAAGGAGCTTTCAGTTAAAACTGCTGCATTTTTTTAAATGCTAACAATTAAAAAAAAAAAAACCCTCCCACTTAGTGATATTACAAGTGACAGATATGCTGACAATCAATTTATTCAGGTTGACGTATGTGTAACAGTTTTAGTTACAACATCATAGAAAATAGAAAATACTGAAACAAAATCTTTTACTTTCCATTTCATAAACACTCCAAAAACTTTTCCTTTAGGAAAAAATAAAAACAAACACCAATATGTTATCCAGGCCTGTGCTTTCTTTGATCTGCTACTATGTAACTATGGTCATATGCTTTTCAGTATTATATACTAAATGATTTTGAGGGAAGTATACGTTAATGCCTGAACACAAGACAGTTTTGTAGAACATGCTTCTGAAATATTTGCAGAGTGTTTAAAGTTTCCCCCAACACATACAATTTTATGTTAAATCAGGGAGAGACAGAAGCGAACAAATAGAAAAACTTTGGTAAGAGTTGTAGCAATGCCATGTTTATCTGTCACTAGCATTTTCTACCTAACCAGGTAATAAAAGATATTTTCCACTGACAAAACAGAGAGGATTTTTGTTTGTTTCAGCAGTGCCCAAAGAACTTTGGGTGCTCCTTCCCTGGAAGTGCTGAAGACCAGGTTGGATGGGGCTTTGACCACCCATGGCAGGGTGGGAGATGGTCTTTAAGGTCCTTTCCAACCCAAGCCATTCTGTGTCTTTATGACATAGAATGTGTGATTAGGTATTACTCCTTTGACAAAACCATGATGCTTATAACAGCTGTATTAAATAATTACTAGATATATAATTATCAGCTAACCTTCCTCTCCCTGACAAAACAAAAAGCAAAGAGAGGCCATCAAAGCCTGACTCTTTTCCACTTTATGCATTGAATAATTATTGTTACTTGAAAAATGGTTATTGAAAGCTGTCATTCTCATTTCATAGTATTGCAGGATGTCCCCTTCAAATTAGCAAGATTATTTCAAAGATTTTCAAAAAGTTATTTCAGTGTTTCAGCATACTCAACCCTGATGATGTCTCTCAAGTCGAGATGTAAGTCACAATGCAGATTGTGATTTTGCTTTGTGACACAATGCACTTTGCTTTTTCAGAGACAGAAGAAAAAAGAGCACTCAATGCCAAATTATGTTCAGTTTAAGTAACCTAAAGTTTAGCAAGGATTGTGAGAGCTCTTTCAAAGTGCAGAAATACATAGGGTGAGATGAAGTAGAACTGCATTTTTAAAGCTTATTCAACCTTATTTTTTTTTTCCAGTCTGATTTGTATTAAAATGTCTTCAGAGATCCACAATACTGGAAGTCACTAGCCTTGTAAAGAAAGCAGTATGTTCTCGAAGTGGAACTGCAAGTTGAGATGTTAGAAGATTGCAAACCAAGAGATGTTTGAAGTCTTGTAGTTTTGGTAGCTAACTGATTGTAACATCTGAATTATTTAAGTCTGCACAGAGAAAAATTTGTTTAGTTAAGGTAACGTTCCTTCACATGATGGTGGATATTGATTTCTGTTTTTTTTAAATATCTATAAGCTAGCTATAGTTGAATGATTTCATTAAATACATACCCAATGTAATAAGAACATTAAAAAAAAAAAAATAGGATGCCTGACTACTGTTAAACATTTCTATTTTACTGAGCTGTAGAAATTCTTGAAGAAATTATTCATGTTAAAAAATCTAGACAAATTGCTAGTACATTTGTTGTTACAGTAAGCTTGAGTGTTGTGTTTATCTGAAAATTCAGCAGAGATAGATAACCTCTATTTTCCTTGTATTTTGCAATGTTTTTGCAATTACGGGAGGCAACTAACAATGGCATCAGTACATACTGGTGGTTGGTATTGTTCCTCAGGAAAAAAAAAAAAAGCCTCTTGAGAGTTCATGCATCAAATCTCTATACTTACTTTGAGTACAAAGTCTTCAGAGAAGACTTTAAACTAAAAGGTAATTTTCATCATGCATCTAACTCCTCTAATGTAACTTCCTAATCTAACTTCTCTCATGAATGGCATGGCCATGCAAGCTTGTTTTTTCCTTTTTAAATCCTTATCCAAGAGAACACTATTACCATTTGCATTAACTCTTACTTAGTTGCCTTCTCTTTTTAGAAGTTTGTAATCAAGTAGGAATTTATTTTAAATTTGAAAGAGATATATACATAAAATCCACTCCAAATGAGGCTTTCACATTTATCAAAGACTGTGTCATCCATTGCATGTTAAAAGCTTTCAAAGAACTCATTTCCACTTGAGCGGTAAAAAAACATTGCGGATTAAACAAATCATATTTGGCTTTGGTATGTATACATTGTCATGATTTACCGGTGAAGTTTTCAAACTTTTGAGTAATAGATTTTCAAGCCCACGTGAAAATTCTCAGATTTCAATTACGAGAAAGGCATTACCCACCCCACCCTACCCCCACCCTCCCCCTCAAGATTTGCGACTATTACTTTCTTGGTAAATCAGACAGTATCACTCAGTCATAGCAACTACATGACCCCTGGTAGAGTTTTTCATCACTCAATATCAAACTTGCAAATTGCAGAACTTCTTTACTAAAGATGTATAAAGGCTTTTGGCTTCAGGTTGATTGAGCTGTCCGTGCCAGACCGTAGAGGGGGAAAAATTCTATACTGAGACTTTGACCCAGCTTTATGTAAGGATTTCCCTTCACAGTTAAGTGAGACAGCTTCTCAAATTTGCTTGTCCTTCAAGGAAGATTTTTACTGTCCTTTTGGGGAAAAAATTAAAAATGGTTAGCAAAGATCTGAAGAAGGCTGTCTAGGGGGACTACAGTTCAGGCTTCCTCTGATTGTTAACAAATAAAAATAAAAACATCCCTTCAAATCTTTCCCACGGATGGCCTCCTAGAGTTATTTTACAGCTGCACCACTGTCATAGCAGTTATACTACCCTTGCTTGAGTTGTGATAAGTATAATTTCACAATACCTTATTCCTTTTAACTCATATTTTTGCTCCTGGGCCACACTGTAGAAGATGTGCATTCTTCATTTATCATCTGCTCTGTATTTTTTTTAATTACTTGACCTCATTCAGTAACTGCAATAAATTAATTGAAGATACTTAACTCATCGGTATTAATGCAGCTTAAATAGTAACAGGAACCAGTGCTCAGCACAGGAAAGATGATTGCCTGGAATGTTTAATAGTTTTAAACAAATATGGCGGAGTTCTGGGGTGTGCAAACTAGTATTGTCCCTAGTTTAATGACAATATTTGACAATATTCCCGATAGCTGCTTAGTCTCCCCTTCGGTAACCTGGAAGGGTTTGGCTCTGTAGATGAGGGTCATTCTGTGCTCTCTGGTCTCAGCGCCAGCTGCTCATAGGTGCATCTTACTTATTTTCATTCATGGTGTTTTAGGTGCTTAAAATTAACAATCGTGACTTTACAAGTCAGTTTGGTATTCTGCTGTGTGTTCTACCTGCCAGCCCTAACTCAGCTACCATGACCTTTCCAAGTGTGGGGGGGGAAGTATGAAAACTGGTCCAATTTTCAATGGAAGAGGAGATTCTTACAATACCACTCTCTTCCATTCCAAATGGGGAGTGGCAATCTGCACTGGGTTTACATCAAACAAATGGGCTCGGGTTCACAAACGTACTAATTCTTTGTAAACTCATGAATCAATGTTGAATAATCAATTTGAGTGTTTTGTTATCATTTGAGCTTCTTCATTATTTACACACAGATATACAAAAGCTTGTACTTTTGAGATTCTGGTCCTTAGATATTTGGCATGTGTCCACAGATTGTTGTAGATCAGGAATGTAATTTTAAGAGATCAGTACTGCGTGTGATTTTTGCATATGATTCTGTAATTTTATTCAAAATGAACAAGTTGTAAGGCAGTTGGAGTTTGGAAACAGATTCTGTTTTGTTCCATGAATTTTTTACGTTTCCTTTCAGCTTCAGCTGAAAGTAAGAATAATCTGTTCTATAAAGAAATCTCAAGAGGCTAGGAAAAGAAATTTTATTGTTTCATATTACATTTTATGGTTAGATTTTTATATTTTATTCAGAGAATGCTTCTGAATTTTGAGTAACTTCAGCATTAGTGTTTTTCTGCTTTTATTGTCTTTTGTTGTTTTTGACACACCTTTGACGTACCTTTACCTACCTTTTAGATCACAGAATCACAGAATTTCTAGGTTGGAAGAGACCTCAAGATCATCGAGTCCAACCTCTAACCTAACACTAACAGTCCCCACTAAACCATATCCCTAAGTTCTACATCTAAACGTCTTTTAAAGACTTCCAGGGATGGTGACTCCACCACCTCCCTGGGCAGCCTGTTCCAGTGCCTAACAACCCTTTCAGTAAAGAAGTTCTTCCTAACATCTAACCTAAAACTCCCCTGGCGCAACTTAAGCCCATTCCCCCTCGTCCTGTCACCAGGCACGTGTGAGAACAGGCCAACCCGCACCTCACTACAGCCTCCTTTAAGGTATCTGTAGAGAGCAATAAGGTCACCCCTGAGCCTCCTCTTCTCCAGGCTGAACAAGCCCAGCTCCCTCAGCCGCTTCTCGTAGGACTTGTTCTCCAGGCCCCTCACCAGCTTCGTCGCCCTTCTCTGGACCCACTCAAGCACCTCGACGTCCTTGTAGCGAGGGGCCCAAAACTGAACACAGTACTTGAGGTGCATCCTCACCAGAGCCGAGTACAGGGGGACGATCACCTCCCTAGCCCTGCTGGTCACACTGTTTCTGATCCAAGCCAGGATGCCATTGGCCTTCTTGGCCACCTGAGCACACTGCTGGCTCATATTCAGCTGACTGTCCACCATCACTCCCAGGTCCTTCT